TAGAACGGGTCTAAGGAAAATTCATCATTAAAACTTGGAAATTGTGAAATGTTTATATGATATTTTTCCCTAACCATTGACGTAGCTACTTTATAAAGTATCGTTTTATCAACCAGCTTGATTTCATTAAATAACTCTGAACCTATCATGGTTTAAGATGAGATCATCTATTTCTTGATGGAAATAAACTAAATGTCAAAGCCGTTTTAATTATCTTTCATTTGAAAAAAAAAAGTCTTGTAAACAACGGTTTTATTTGTTTATTATTGAACAGTCTACGGGTTTGTAATATCTAACGCAGGTATAAGATGACCATGTCAATTTAGTAACTAATATATATTTACGATTCACTGGTGCTCACCCTATGTTTACCCCAGAATGATTTGGTAGAGCAGTTTGTAAAGTTAAGCAAGTGCCGTCGAAGCCATTGTCTTTATACATTATGTATTTTATTTACTTAACCCATTACTTGAAAAATGGCTGTTTTCATTGAATAGTCTCCTGTTACAAGTTCAAATTGCTATAAAACTATAAAAACAGCTTTAATACTAATCAAACTTGGCACAAATTGACTGGACCATTGCCTTCGCAACAACATGCTCAGGCTTAAATTTCATGTTACCATGGCAAGGAGGGGACATCTCAAAATTGCCAATAATCACTATTTTGCTTTGATTTTTTCAATCAAAATGGATTTCAAAGAGCTGCAACTTCTCATAGGATTGAGATAGAGTCAAATGCTTTTCAGCGTTGGATACACGTTACCTTATGATTGAGTTGGGGTCATTTTAAGCCTGTCACAAGTCAAAAATTTTCTTGGCGATGAGGGGGACTGCCGCCCCCTTCAACCCCCCCCCCCCCCAACAAGGGGGGGGGGGAAATCTCCCTTCTGGCAACCCCTGAAGTATCTTTTGGTTGGGGGCCGTGCCGAAAAAGTGGTCACTTTTTTAAACAACATTTCACAAACAAAAACAAGTGTTGGGGGCCTAAACAAGGCATTTTTTCACCATTGGAGACAACAAAAGGTGGGTGTGGGGTGAAAAAGGCTTAAAAAGGCGTGTATATCGCGTAATGTGTTAACTGAAAATACGATATTTTGTGTTTCTGTATAAATTTATTGGTATTTATTCATTGCCTTATTTAATATCAGCATGTACATTATAATTATGTCACTTTGCCAGGAACGTTGTGTCTTACTCTGTCTCAAGTTTATTAAAATCGTCTATTGATACTCAAGTGACTAAGATAAATTCAAACGTTCATGCTTATTTTTATCTTGGCTATCCTTCAAGAAATTGATAGGAAATTTTATATCTTATTCCTTTATGAAATAACATATTTCTGAATGTCATTTGCCACCAAATATTTATTTTATCCCATATTTTTTCACCTATCAATCCATAAAATTACTTTTTTTGTATTTCTTAGTGTAATTTTGAATAGTGACTAAAATGTATACCAACTATTATTGCGCTATCCTGTTAATTAAGTTATACAACTGAAGCTCGGCCATCCTTGTATTTAAGCATTACAAGTACATGTTGGGTTAATGTGTCACAAATGTACGCCTAGTTATGCCAATATCCACCAAATGAAAGACAAAATTCATACCCGAATTGACCATCAAAATATTTATATGAAATAAAATATTACCTTTAATGTCTTAAATATGGTCCTTATCTTTATGCTACATTTTTTCTCACTCAGGACACATTGTTTCAAATTCTAACACGACCCGCATTTTTCCCTATTGAACATAGAAGAACCGAAAGTGTGTGTGTTATTTAAGATATATCCCAAATATGGATTTTATCGCTACGCCCTCGTGGTATAATTCCTCGCATCCGAACTCCAAACAGTGACTTTATTGAGCTATAAAATCACTGTTTGGGATATATTATTTCTTAAATAACAGTTATTTTACCTAAGCTCTCAATAAATAACACATTATATGCAAGTTCAATTTGTCATACATGTTGAAATGTCCAAATCTTGTTTGGAGCATAACTTCTACATACATTGATTGACATAAGCATTATTTAATTTGATACAAATAATCACAAAATTAGAAGTTGTGTCACACGGGAGCAAATCTTCTATGTTATATATGGCATTGAAGGGTTTTGATATTATTTGGAACAAATGTTCCTCATTGTAAATCGTTGAGAAATTCAAGCCCCTGGTGCCAAAATCAATGTCACACTTAGGAGCAAGATAAAATACAAATATGCGTGTTTGAAGAAGTGTATGATTTTAAGTTAGTGATTATGTCCCAAATCTTCACATTTACAAACCAAAGCTTATAACCAGACAATGATGAAGGAATTTCGTATGTTTGTACGGACTGTGGTACATTCGACCAAAATGGGCTTAAAGGCAATATCTTTCAAAAAGATAACAATGACCCTTATTCTATTGTAACGAAACAGATCTTTCGTTTCTTGATCCTGAGAAAAAGACAATTTTGTAATTTGTACTTTACTATGGGTATTTCGCTTGACCAAAATGTCAGTAAAACAATCACTGACGTATCTCCTCTAAAAAAATTGGACGGACTGTTGTCCAAGTTATAATTCAATGTCGGCGTGATCGTGTATCATTCTTTTCACGCTTCGTGATGACATATGCTAGTACTACTGATGTAAAGAAGTGGAATGATCAAAGATCAGTAATGGCAAATAAAACTTTTAGCTTAACTGTAGTGAATTTGGTTTGCCTCTCTGTATGGAGCAGTGTTCACATTCATTCAATATATATTTTAAATAGCTCATTACGTAAGAGTATCCACTCTATCAATCTAAGTTTATAACCGCTGACGACAACATTGTTGTATAGCCAATTCCATATTTCTTTTGTTCAATTTTATTGCGTCTCTGTCATTGTCTGACTGTGTGTGTATTGCGGTATGTCAAAGACTAGCTGTTGCCTAAATATTGGACAATTACCAGAGCACAGCATACTCAAAAGTGCGCATTTTGACGGAATTGTGTCATTCGTCAATCGTTTGCCGTTAGTAGTCCTTCATTAACCTAAAATTCTTTTAACAGTATCCTTCTTAATTTCCTGGTGGATTCTGCCTACACTTTAAAGTAAATATCCTTAGATGGCCCTTTGCAGTTAAGAAGGTCACATGAGCTCAAACAAACTTTAGAAATAAAATCTTTTCAGAAATTGGAATGCCCAGAGATTAGTTATTTCGCATGTAGCATAGCAATAAAGTCTTATATTCTAGAATTTGTATTTGTTATTATAATAGCAATATCGTCTGAGTGGTATCATAAGATTCGTAATCTCAATATATATTTGAATACTATTAGTTATAATGATATTTTACATAAAATGGCACAAATGTTACACTGTTTCAGAAGCACGTCATATTCTTTAAAGAATCCCACTATTTGTGATTTTCTAATTCATATAATACATTCACTACAATATTGTAATCGGTATCCACTTGGTATTTTGTGTGTCAGTTCCAGTTTTAAACATTTCTGTAAAAATGGAAAGGATTACGTATCATCAAAATATCTGTAACTTTTAATACTAGAAAATTTATCTTGCATGAGTCATTTAATATAAAAATGAACTGAGTCGTGAATGAGTAAAATATGGATTAAACACTTTTATGATATAAAACTCATCATAGGTTTATTATGGTTAAAACAAAGAATCGTAATAGATTAAGATTCGTTATCTCAATACATATTTGAAATGAACATGTGTACTATTAGTTATAATGATATTTGACATGTTATATATATGCCTATATCGCCATATATAAACGATTTTTTGGAAACATAACCCGAGCTGCTAGGCAAGAGTTAAATTACAAACAACCGTTTATATACGACCATATAACATGTAAGAAATCTTTATAATGGATTTTTATAAAGCAAATTTCCTTTTTGTAGAGAAAAGAAGTGAGATTTCTTCATTGACAACAGTCGAGTATGTAAAGTTTTATCAACGTCACAATTATCCGTGACAACTGACGTTACAAACGTGCAGTATTATAAAAAAATCACATATTAAATCAAAGGGCTGCAGCTCTATGGTATTTTCTGATCTTTGCAATCTAAATCATACTGACTATCTGTATGTACTTTCCTGTATAAGTTTATTTTTATATACTATAATTCATCTTACGCAGCGACAGCGTTTTGATTTTCTTCTATAACAGTTTGAGATTGATACACATGGAATTTTGCATGAAAAAAAAAATAGAATTGCCTCGACTTGCCTTGAACCATAGGCCTCTAACACCCTCAACGAGACCGCTTACCTCTGCACCACGGCGAAGTAATACATATGTACCTTGAATAAAAACGAATACATTATGTAATTCTAAATTGAGAACTTCCATTTCGTGTTTGCAATCCTTATTAATTTCGAGGTATTTTGTTCACGATAAACCTGTTGTTTAACACTGATGAAAATAATTTAGCGAAAATCTTCTCGCCAAAACAGTCCGACATGTATATATTCCACTACTCGACAGTCAGATTTATTTGTGTACTACGCTCTGGAGTATTCATTAATCGACATAGCTAAAATAGAATTTTCATTGATTAAAATGATATTCATGATAATACGAAGCTTTACGGAAATAGCCGAACATTTTTCATTGGGTAAAAAAGATATTCATCCGCGAAATTTGTGATTGTAACCTCATATTTCTATTGACTTATCTAAACTTTTAATGCATTGAAATTTGTTAAATGCCTACATTAAAAATTATTCTTTCTTTTAAATTGCTGGTTTTTAAGCAGTTTTGAGTGAGAACTACTTTGCGTTGTTAGGACTGTAAGGAAATTTTGTGTTAGACCGTGGATGTTAGCTAGTATTTACTGATCTTACGATCAGAAAATACAAAAATCTACATATAAAATAACATGAAAACAAGCGAGGTTATGTGATAAATTATAGTTCTTACGATATTTATTCTAAAAAATATAAACATTGGAAGATGTTTTCTTCACTTCTTTATTTTCTTTTTTTAGGTTCCTGTGCTGGTGTATCCAGGACTACATGAAACCAGAGAAAATTAATGCATTCAACATAGGTATTTACATCTTATATATTTTCTAGAAAATAGTGTTACAAATTTTAATTGACGACCTACACCATTCTGATTCTTTAGTTATGACACTTTCCATAATTAAGTTGACTGAGTACACTACCTTAAATAATTGCATTAATCAATACTTTATTCATGATGATCAAGGAAGCACTTTTGTTATTGTAGGTAAGAACAGGAGAGTTGATGTGTAAAACTGCAGCCAAATATACTAACTACATATAATTACCACTGTATTAATGCTAAATTATGAACCATTCTCAGTTTTAAAAGACGATTTGTCAGACCATAGACCATAGACCTTAAGCTTATTGAAGACAAGTAACTGCAATATATAATATCATTTGGAGAGGAGAAACAATGTTGAGCAAACTTTACAATGCTCTACGATCGGACGTTCGGTCTAGTGGGATGGATGGAGAAACAGAACTCGATGTAAGATGTATATATTGTTTGAAGAAAGAAAGACTTTTAAATTTTGCGGATCTTAAACGAGCAGACCACATTTGTATGAATGGCCAACACCTCGTTTTTAACTATGGGGATAAGCAAGTGTCAGCATACACGCATCATGCAATTGTTAAGGATATTAATGTTATCTCTCCTTCCTGTGCTGCTATTTCTATAATACATTTCTACTCAACACCATTCGACGTGTCGATTAAGATTCGGGAAACTTCAACGCTATTAGACTTGCATATGAACGAAGTTTTCACCATTCGATACAGACATCCTGCACATAATGCCGATATTGTTATAAAACGAGCAGAAGGACTTATAGAGCAAAACAAACTTGCAAACTATTCAATATTGTCTTGTAATTGTGAATCTTTCTGTAACTGGTGTTGTGTTGGTAGTGAAGATAGTTATCAATCAGAAAATGTCATAGATATTTTACGAGCAGTAAGAGGAGCAGCGTTTGCAAATGTTGGTGGTAAGGTTCTGCGAGTTGTTTGCAAACTTCTCATGTTGTCACTTGATGATCTGTCAAAGGTTGCAGAAGGCGCTCTTTTTGCTGTACCATGGGGTGTGCTTGGAATTATGGCTTTACTCTACCTTATCCACACAATTTACCGTCATTTTCAGTTAGATAAAGCCATGAAAGCTGGGAACATCTGTTCAGCTTGTTGTTTGCGCAAAAAGCATGACCTATGGATTCAGTTTGCTGCATATTGTGTTTTGCAGGTAGGTGGTCTTGGCTTGTTGTCAATGGTCATAGCTGCAGGAGCTAGTAAAGGTATTGTAGTTGGGGCTTTGTCTGTTTGTAGTGTTTTGACTTTACTATGTATTTCCGTTATTCCAAAGCTCCGACAGTGGTTTTGTTCACCATTTCAAGGACGATTACTGAGAGTAAAGAGCCTGGAAACAATCAGGGAAGGTGATGTTATTTCGTTTGATAATTGGAAAAAATCACACGATGGAGTCGTAAGCGCTATCAATATTTGTCCAAATACGAAAAGTAAAATGGGTCAAATTACCGTGATACATTACTCACTTCCGTCTCTTTTTGGTCGTAGAGTTATCGTCGAAGAAACCATTAAATTTGATCTTGAAACAGATTTGATTTTTAGCCACGATTACTCTGGATACACTGTACATGAACCAGAACTTGTAGTTCAACGGGCAAAACAGAGGCTTGGTGAAACAAAATTTGGTTTTATGACAAATCGTTCGTGTCATTTTTGTCACTGGGCTAAAGTAAACGAGGAACTGAATGCTGAAAATATTATCATTCCGGAATCAGCAGAGCTCATGATGCTTAATTTGAGAGAGATTGACCCGAAAGATACAATTTCGAATTTGCCACTTCAATCTATACATGTTGACCATATGAGAGGGAGAACGCATGCATCGATGTCTCTTGAAAAAAAATGGGCACGAATTAGAGATGAAATCAAAGTTGGCCAAATAGTAGAATTCAAATACCGACGTTTCTGGCATAAAGCTGTCAGTACGAACGTACATTTTGACAGGCGAATTTCAGCAAAGGTGAACATCACTGTCGTCCACTATGGTGAAATGGGCAAAGTATGCGAAGAAAAATTTACATTCAACCTCAACGTGGAAGATGTATGGGTTTATAAATATCACCCGCTTTACCGTTATGAAACAAGTGACGTGATAAGACGTGCACGAGCAAGAATAGGGGAAGAGAATTACAATATATTCTTCCATAGATCTTCACATCTTGCAAGGGAAATCGTAGTCAAGGAAAAAGACCCAGTTGTATTAGATATAGATGAAATCAAGTTGGGTGACGTAATAACGTTCTACTACTGGTCTTTTAGGCATGATGCAATAGTAACAAAAGTCATCCGTGGTGATTCTAAAGCCAACACCACTGGCGTTTTGAGGATAATTCACTATGCTTTGAAGGATCTTTTTGCAGTCCGGACCGTTAGTGAAGAACCTATGCCTATTGATTTGAGGAAATGTCTTGTGTATAAGAAAAGTTACGATGGATATGTAACATACCCGGCAGATATTGCTGTAAAGCGAGCTCGTTCAAGACTTCACGAGCAGCGATTCTCCATCAATGGAAACACATCGTCAGATCTTGTCCATTGGGCTAAAGTAGTTCAAAACCCAATAGTTGTTTCGAAGTCAAAAGATGAAAAGGAGCTTTTTTCTGGTGTTCAAAAAGACCCATACCTTCTTGTACCGAAAGCAGGTATTCAATGTGAGGAGTTTCAGTACTTTCGTGCTAACTCTTGGTCTGATTTGTACCCAGGTGTTATAGTGGAATATAGGTATTACTTAATCCGGCACCAAGGTATCCTTTCCTACAAAAACAAGAGTACAAAGACCATCAAGGTGATTCACTATGGCGCAGACCACCTTTTTGCTACTCGAACGATAATGGAGGATACAATGAAGCTAGACTTGAGGTATGATAACATTTGGATATACAGAGGGCACCCAAGACTGTGTTATAAAGCAGGAGTAGTGCTTGAAAATGCCAGGAAACGTCTTGGAGAGCAAAAATGGAAAAGAGGAAATAGATCTTGGCACTTCTGTAAAGATTGCGTGCTTAAGAAAACGAGACAGGAAGTGTAGATAATCGCCAGAAGAAATGTCACACTTGTTTGGTTTCTTCAATGTTGTAACATATTTGGCATTGTAAATATCAGCTCCTGTTTCATTATTTTTGGTCTATGATGTGAGTCAGTAATAAAATTGCCTTATGATGGTAAGCAAGTTCCATTCAGAACAATCATAGAATTTGATTTATTGAAGTTTATTCTTATTGTTTGTAGAAAAACAATCAGAAATGCCTTTTTCAAAAAAGACAGAGCAGAGGTTGTCTTGTTCAAAATTATGAAAATGTCTTTAGAAGCACATGGGTTCTTCTGTAAGGATTGTATGCATGGAAAGAAGTTAGTGTTGTGAAGTTGTATGTAACCTAAGCGTTAACGTCGTTCTTGTTTTGAAGCTTTGGAATTGTTGTATATTCAGTATAGTTAGTTTATATAGGTTTGAAAAAACGCTGTGTCATTGTCAATGATATTGATCAGTGATTGCCTGCGTAGCAGTACATGAAATTTAACACATAATATGCTAATTCAGATTCTGGGTAGAACAAATAATGAGATCTCTGACTTGACCTTCCTACAAATACAAATTAATTTCTGTTGTTATGTTTCGTTTCTGTGTAATGTACATTTGTATAAACTGTTGGTAATTGATAAGTACTGTCCTGTAAACATTTTGCTGGTCGAATCATTTGTCAAACAAATGACCAGAACTATTTCAAGTACGTGTTGTACATGTGATGGTATTAAATTATCTTTTCTATGTAAGGTATACATTTATTTGAATTTATTTTATTATTTGCTTTGAATTTATTATACATAGCTTTGAGTTTATGATATTTTAATGCATGGAGAGAATGATAAATGGATGTACAGATGATATATCAAAAGCGCTTGTTCATCTTTTGTTGATTTATGTAATTTTTTACTTTCAATGTATAAAATATCTATGTTGCAGCAGCTTTGAATTATAGTAATGTTAAGTATTTACTGTTATGTTATGTAGGCGTGAGATGTCAAAAAGAATGTACACCGTCAAAGAATATGTGATACTAGTACATTGAAAGCAGTATATCACCTTGTCAAAATAGTTATATCCTGTGTTGAGTTGTTATCAATTGTTGGTTTAAGTCAGACTTTATTGATATTATTATTATTGTTGTTCTTTCATATACTTTTAATAGCCCTTTTATTTTTCAATTATTTTGATCACATGTACTAATTAGCTAATGTAAAGTTGTGTTAAATTCAGTTTGTCAACCATGGAAATGATTATATAGTTTTTCATTTCCTAACATGATCTGAATTATAAAATTAGACTATGAAATACCCTAGTGAGATTACGTTATTGCATGCGGTTAATTACTTGTATATGTTTGATAGTTTGATATAGTATAGACATTAGTAAATAATTGTCCTTCTTTAGCAAACATTGTGTTAGAAAACATCTTTATTTAACACCTCTGAGGAGCAACATTGAGAGACAAAGATTTTGTTGTTAAGACATGTTGTTCTAGAGAGGTCAAATTTCTGGTAAAGTTTTTCTTTTGGAATAAATGAAATTTTTGTGTTGCTTAACAGAGGGTTACTCCGCAGAGGTTCCCTGTATATTATATTCCTTGAACTTATATTATACTTTTATTATTGGATTTTTCGTTTAGGAAATTATTGAATTATTTATAAAAATTGTTCAATATATTCATTTTCCATTTAGATATTTATTCGTAGTTGTGAAGATTAAAGTTATTTTTCTCACATTTTATAGATTAGGACGATTGATTCTGACAGCATTTGTATTATATTTTTCTTTCTTTGTTTAACATTTAACTAGATTTTCATATATCTACATTATCGGCAGAAATGAATGTTTTAATGCACAGCTATTAAATTGCTTATAAGTCATAATTAAATGAACCATTTTATCCATATTGAAAACCTTACACTATTACTTGTGTCAAATGTTAAAACAAGTTTGATATAAAGCATATTGGGTAATTCAGGAACAAGTTTATTGGCGACGCCGGTGAGCGGCGTCGTCTCTTATGGAATGCTTTTTATTTTGGGCTATGGAAGGAGTTGTTATTATTAGCAGTTAATGTCATGTTGTGTTAATTAGTTTTATTTTGATTCGTAAAAAACAAGTAAACAAATATGTTGTTATATTTGTATTTAATTACTTTATGTAAAAAGCATGTGCATTGTGATATTATTTTCACGAAATTGCAGGCTCAGTTTAACAACTTGTCCCTCAGCTTTATTGGCAATACTAAAACCCGGATTTCGAATATCGTTGTGGTCTACATTGATCATTTATTCATTTATATATTTTCAAAATTTTCCTACAAGAAGAACGTTCACCTGCAAATGTATATAAGGAATGGTAATAGAACTGTTGTAAACGATTATCCTATTGATTTTATCCATATTACGTTTATCTATTGCACAGAATGATTCTTTTGACAAAGTGTACCAGTATCCGGATGTTGAAAGCTATCCGGTTTTCTGCAATTACTGCTGTCACTTGGCCATCTTACTTTTTATGAATACTTTACCATTACTTTGCACGGCTTAATAAAACTGAGCCTGCAACATTTCATAATTTTGATGTTTAGGCGGGTTATGGTGTTCTTTTGGGTTTCAGCTTTTCTCTATTTTTAGGGGAAGTAACTCATGTACACTAAATTATTTGTTCTTTTATGTCTATCTTAGGTATTACTTACCATTTTTGTTGTATAACATTTACCAGTTGTAAGGTCATCAAAAGCATAAAGGCCCTGAGGAGTGAATATTGATAGACTTTTTTACTGGCTTTATATACCTTAGACTGGAATTTGTTCAGTTAGTACATACCTACAGGTATTTTGCTACAGGAATCTTCTAATCACTTTGTGAAACTAATTATTATTTTCTATGTGTTTGTATATAAATTGGTAATAAAATAACCTTTGGTAAAAATGAAAGGTAGAAAATTAAAGCTATGCATATAGATGCTCATGTCCATATATTGAAACAGAGAAAGGATAACATCCTGAAGTTATTAATTTTAAACACTTGATATATATGCAGTTAGTTATATAGTAAAGTCTAATGGAAGGTTAAAAGAGGGACAGTATTTGTTTAATACTGTACGAGATATGCATTTAATGTTTAGACACTCACACAGCTAAATCTTTAATACATGTATCATTGTATGATATAGACTATTTGAGATATTTTTTACTTTTATACTATACATTATTATAGTTTTCTTTCTACAAGATTATGAATTCCATCCAAGAACCAATGTTAATAGGATATTATATTTATTTTCAGTTGAAAGTGGGAATTATTAATGTAATGTGCATACATGTATATTATGGTATCTGGATATAATGTGACTTGAAATATTTCTGTATTTTAAAGAAATACGGTTATGATGGATGAGACTTGCATTTAAATTTATAAATGATAATACATATATTTATTAGTATACAGGTTAAAGGTGTTTATACCCAGCGTTAGCTGGCTAATAATAGTATCTATAATAGAGTTTATACATTATACATGTAGTTTTCTTTCTACTAGATTTTGAATTCCATCCATTAGTGCCAATGTAATGTTAGGATTTCATATTTATTTTAGAAACTGGGAATTATTAATGTTATGTGCATACATGTTTATCTTGGTATATGGATATGATGAGATTTACAATATTTCTGTATTTAAAGAGTTACAGTTATGACATTATTATAAAAGATTTAAAGTTATAAATGATAATACATGTGTTGATTGAAAATGTCCTTAAACTTGGATCAAGCAATATAATTTATAAAGTCATATAAAAATCATATGGTATTCTGAATTGTTATTCAAATTTTTTTTCTAACATGTGCATAGTTTAAAAAGGACAGCTATTATCTATTTGTTAGCTCAACCCCTACAGCCGCGGTACATTATTCTATGGGTCACAGGTTTGAGTTCTGGTCACGCTGAAAGTTTGTCTCATCCTGTGACAGCATATAACCCTGTGTTTAATTCAATATGCTCTGTAAACATCAGAAATTCAAGGACACAAATCAAGATTGTGGGGAATATGTTGTGGTTTAGAACTGTTCATTATTAATTTAAAGAGAAAATGTGTAGCCGGCCGGATAGCCCAGTTGGTCTTCTGACAGTCATGGGTTGGAAATGGTTTTTCAACTGACAAAAGTTTGATTCATTTAACAGATTGTATTAAATTTGAAATGGACAAAGGCAGTATTGTACTTTTAGACCTACAAAAGGCATATGATACAGTTGAAAACACTATACTGCACATGAAGAAATTCTTCTTCTTCTTCATGGAACCTCAAGAGCATCTGCCATAGGTAATGACATTCTTACATGGTTCAAGTCTTATTTCTGATGGACAGCGGCTGTACTCATTCTACTACTGCTCCAAGTACCTATAGTGTCCCCCTGAGGTTCATTTTAGGTCCTCTTTTATGTCTAATATATGTCAATGACATGTCTGCAACCCTAAGCAATAAGCTTTTATTATATGCTGATGACTCAGGTATCCTTGTATCTGGTAAAATAAATCTGAAGAAATTATCTCTTATGGCATGAGTCTTATAAGTGATTGGTTAATTGACTATAAATTGTCTTTTCATCTTGGCAAAACAGAGTCTATTCTTTTTGGTTTAAGTTTCAACTTAAACTGGGCCTAGCCTCCAGGACACATGTAATGGCACTGCTATGAATTACACATCTTTTTTTAAGTTTTTAGGTGCAAAACTTGATCAAATTTTTTTGGCGTCGCCTTTGATCTTTTCTTGTTGTTATTCTAATACTCTTTATTTTGTTGGTGAAAGTTAAATTAGCTGTTGAAGTACACTACATTTTGCGAATTTTTTGTATTTTTGTTTAAAATGTACAATGTAAAAGCACAAAATTGCATAAACATTTTGATATTGCTAAAATGATCTTACACTATATTTAAGTGTTTTGTAATAAACAGATATGTCTGCAGAGTTGTGTTGTATTTCTAACTGCATTGCTTTTTTAATATTTTAGTATGTCATTTTATTGACATTTCTATTATTTTTTAGTGATATCTACATTGTTTAGATTTGAATAATTTGCTTTTGCTTTATAGTTAAATAAAATTAAAAGACAATATAAAAGTTTCTGTTGTAAGATGATTTCAATTCACCATTAATTTAAAAAAAATAGTTAACCATTTCTTTCACCATTTGTATATTCATATCGTTTTGTATATTTCTGAACAGGCCTTCATTGTTTATTAGTTAAAGCTGAATCGGAGTTTTTTTTAAGTTTGCTGTTCGCTTACAAACCCTATTACAAGTAGGGAAACTGATAGCGAACAGCATGGATCCTGATCAGACTGCGCGGATGCGCAGGCTGGTCTGGATTCATGCTGGTCGCAAACCCATTATGTTGGTTTTGTCGTGACGCGGCTTATATTATGTAAGCCTCTAAAAACCAATAGACAAGAAAACACATGTTTGAGGAATATTAATGTGGCTGTAAAAAAACACTGCAGCGGGAGCGCAATTTAGAATTTAAAAGTAAGAGAATCTTTATGAGCTTTCCATAACTTAGTGCTCCTTAGATGGAATAAACTGATGCCATTCCTATACAAATACTGTGAACACACGAATTCGGCCACATGGGTGAAGGACGATAATGATAATATGTATCGCAAAATGAGCATTTCAAAAATATATGCTATGGAAACTGGCTGAAGAATGATAGTCAACTCAGGTTGACGTTTTCTATATTCGTGACTTTAAAGTATATTACATGCAGGTCACTGTATTTTGACTATGTTTTTTTTTGCTTCAAATAATGATAATATAAATCAAGTATGACTGTCTAACAAAGAAAATTCAAAATGACAAACTATTTTTGTAAACTCTTTTCTTGTTGCAAAGATTCCCTTATGATAAGATCATTTGACAATTTTTTTTCAAAGTCAGAAGTTGAAATGGTGCTCTCGTCTGGTAACCCCTAAAATATCTTTGAACTGAGGACCGGCATTCAATGTGAGATGCGAGGAGTTTCTGTCCTTTCGTGCTAACTCTTGGTCTGATTTGTATCCAGGTGTTATAGTGGAATATAGGTATGACATGTACTTAATCTGGCACCAAGGTATCCTTTCCTACAAAAACAAAAGCACAGAGACCATCAAGGTGACTCACTATGGCGCAGACCACCTTTTCTCTTTGCTACTTGAACAATAATGTAGGGAAGATATTTTATGGCTTGACTTGAGAGATGATTACATTTGGATATACTGAGGTCACCCTAGACGGTGTTACAAAGCAAGGAATAATGCTTAATATATCAGGAAACTTTTTTCAATGATGGGAAAAGGAAATGAATCTTTGGACTTACCAGTCAGATATTTGGTTTTTTTATCCATACTCAGCCACGGCGAGGGTGAGTGATGAAGCTGCTCTTCTTCAATGTAAGGCATAAGAAATGCTAAAACTTTCTTTGGTTTGTTATTCAAATTGATTTAATTTATATTTGACCTAATCACCGTTTAGGATAAAGCGTCAAGTGGAACAATTCAAGTACATGTATGGCTTTAAACTTTAAATGATTTGAAATCATTGAATTTTCATAAACTTTGCCAAATCTTTGATTAGATTAACATTTTGTCATAACACTTTTGACAAAACCTTCACGTGATGTAACTCAAGTAATACCTGGACCTCTACTTGTGCACAAATATGAAAATTTATTCGATTTCTGTAAAACTTAGTAATTAGTAATTTATACACACATAATTAATATTTGGACCGTATGACATTTTGGAAAACACCATCATAATGCGTGAAGTAATATAATCTAAAACTTAAAAATAAGAAATGCTAAGGGTTTTTTTTTATTATTTTTTAATTGGTATTTTTGCTTTATATTAAACAAAATAACATTCATTCAGGACCTTAACCCTAGACAGACCTTCGCTTAAGGCCTTTATAAACGATTTGCATTTGATAATAAGAAAAAATCAGGTTTGTTGCGTCCCTTGATTAGGAATTATATTTTTTGCGGGTGTATTTATAACATTCAGTGATAGTTCTAGTTTTCTTTCTTCTTGATCTAGGAATCAAACCTTTTGGCGGGGGTATTTATCACATTCAATTAATGATATTTCTAGTTTTTTTATATTCAGTAAATAAATTGCGTAAATGTTGAATATTGGCCATCTGCTCCGGATTCAGTGTTGTTGACAAATTGGCGAAGTGGATATGAAACAAGGTTGGACGTAATCGCATGTATGATCTTTAGCATTTAGCAAATAATGACAAAAAATACATGTTATAGAATGGAGAATGTACGATCATTTTATTACTGTTTAAAGGTATGTTTTAACAAAGAATATGAAGTTAAAGGATTGGAATGAAACGTACGTAGCATCTCACGGTAATTAGGAATAAAAATAAATACAAGTCCTTCATTTCTTTGAGTAATGGCAAATTTTATTTTTGGTCATATTACCAGTATGAAGAATAATAAACGATAAATAACGAAATTATTTTCTTTTCCTTTTTTGTAAAATGATATAAAATCTATAAATGTTACCATAAAAATAGTAAACTGTTAACTCCTATCCAGAAATTTATGAGCAATACTTAATTATGGTCCTCGACAAGTAGATGTTGTGAATGAACAAGCGTCAATATTTGCATCATATTTCGTATTTTGAGGACATTTTCGCAAGAATACACCATTTGGTGCACATGTCAAGTAATATCCACACCCGTTACAGGATGGGTAATTCTGCCAAGCTTTTCCCGCACAATCTGTTTGCTTGAAACACCCAGCTGAAAAGTTTAGACAAAACAGAATAAAAGAAGTCAATAACATGAACCAGACTTTCGTTGACACATAAATTTATATAATTAATATATTTACAAAGAAAATGACATATACATATACCTACCTTACCCAAAACAAGAATATATCATGAATTGTGCAACAAAATGCTATAGACTGTATGTATTCATTCGTTTGCTCCACGTTAAAATAAATTCTCAATGCCAATGTGTTTGCTCAATGCCTGAATGTTTGTTCAATGTCTGTGTGTTTGCTTTATTTTTTAATTGTTTGCTCTATGGCTATGTGTCTGTGCCAAGTCAATGTTTTTGCTCAAAGTATATGTGGTTGCTCAATGCCTAAGTATTTGACCTACCGGGGTATGTCTAGGTAGTTGCATGTTGAAGTATTTGCTTGCTCCTTGTATAGGTATTCGTTCCAAATCTATGTGTTTGCTCAATGCTTATGTATTTGTTTCATGTCTAAGTGTTTAAATCTTTGTTCCATGTCGAAGTGTTTGCTCTTTGTCTAATTATTTTCTCCACGACTAAGTGTTTACACCATGAATAAGTGTTCGCCCCATATCTTAGTATTTGTGTAATGTCTAAGTGTTTGTGCAATTTCTTATAGTGTAATAATGTGGAATGCCTTATGTGTTTTATCTGGAAGGTATCAGCTAATGTGTTTCCTTACCAACCAATGAAATGATAATGAACTACTAGTATTAGTTAGAAGACAACTTACTTGTGAACACATTGGGCCCAGATGTAACCGCCGTCACCCCAATTGGAACAGGAACTTTGTTAGGAACTGCGGAAATAAACAAATTATATTAAAATATATGTGAAACGTCATACTATAACATTTGCCTGCTGGCGGCACCAAGTTCTACCCATACAACAGTGCAGATCAATATCAGCCGGAACATCATTATCATGGTAATGATTTAGTTATTATTTGTTCCAAAACTGTCCACAATGAAAGATGCACAAGTCCGTTTAAGATATATGGGAGGTAATACCAAAACAAATGTAAATGACCTAACAGTTAATCGTAAAGAAAGCTGTTGTAAAAACATTTTTAGAAATAATATTTTTTATATTCAGTTGCATTATTCTAGTAAAGGAAGACATACTTACTTGTTACCGGTGCAACCGTCTGTGGAAGTGTTGGTTTATGTGTGACTATGCCAGGTTTGTTTATTGGCTGAGTCCAGTCTAAAAATTAAGAACAATTTCAATAAAAAGCTATACGTTTACATATTTCTACTTTTTAACAGTTTCAATACTAATGAACTATTTGTGACCGTGAGAACAAACTGTATATGGCGTAATGTTCAATGGTACTCATTTATTTAATTTATAGCCATATCACATGAAAGAACCCAAAGAACCTGTCGGAGATCGAGCCTACAGCGGTGATGGACCAGTGTTTCGTAGTCAGTGTGAGTAACCACGTTGCCACGAAGGCCACAGACATAGGTATACATTGAAGCCAACGTAACGGTTATATGACATTTGATTTAAAGCCTTAAAAGACGAAAGCGTAGGTCATAAGTAAATATCTTATTAACACAGACATTTGTTAAGTTTTTAAAATTCTTTTAGACAAACAATCTGTTTCTGTACATCGTAACGTTATGCGATAGAAAATTAGGCATATAAAAACAATTTAAAAGATGAAAGCATAAGTTATAGATATAATCAATTGGTGATACAGTTATAAATTGGAAACAATGTATGAAAATCGCAACGACTGGGTAAACAACTATATGGTGAATTGATAATGAATTAATAATATTTACACATCTTCATTTCACATATATAAGGCATAGATAAATCACAATCTTTGTCGTTGATTGAGTCAGAGGTCATCATGTACTGTGCGCAATGTTCTCTTCCACCAGAATTGTTCGGCTCCCCGGGGTTCCAACGCCTGGAAATTTTTTTTATTAAGATATATGAATGCAAAGCAATAAAATCGATCTAAAATGTTACAACTATTAAAAAAGTGTAAGGTCTAAGGTCTTAAACCTGAAAAAAACCCTCATGCAAATTATTTCACAAACCTTTCTCCAATTATGGTCGTTTTATATCACTATTTTCTATACGTGTAGGTATTAAATAACTTTGGCGCGCTATTCTCTGTGGCTCAGTCATGAATGTAAAGCAGTCGGTTCAAAGGTCTATGTGTATATCAACGACTGATCCAAATAGACCGCGATAATTGTGATGATTGATATACATGTAGTTGTAATATTTTAAGTTTTATGATCACGTTTAACAATACAATTAACAGTACCTTCAAATGGTGTATCATTGTTTTCACAGCAGTCAAAGAAATGTTGATCATATGGATACAATTTCATCGGCATTCTCAGAACCTTCCCCAAAAATGCATCTCAGATAAACTCATGTGTTTCAGGTATTACATTGTGAAATTATGAACTAATGAATATTGTTTTACACGGTACAACATGTTCGAGAGTATATAAAAACGCAAGAAAACTACAATATGTTCTTACAGTATGTTACTATTAAGGGATGTACCATCACCCCACTTATAATAATTGTTGTCAAATCTCGGCCTGTTGTTTAGTCCAATCCACCATTTGTCTGTGTTTTGGAACTTAAGCTGTGATTGAATCTCATTCCTCAACCAGGACTGTAACAAAACATGAAAAAAGAGTTTTTATTGAATAACTAAATGAATGTAACACAGACATTGAATTATAAAAACTTAAATTTATCATGCAATTAAATTATTAAAAGGTTAAATTATTTTCTTTATTGACAAAGACGACAATCTCTGTAGAGCAACAACCTGCGAGACTGGTCGATACTGTTGTTGTGTTGTTGTAAAGAGATCGTCGTTGTGTTGTTGTAAAGAGATCGTCGTTGTGTTGTTGTAAAGAGATCATTGTTGTGTTGTTGTAAAGAGTTCATTGTTAAAAAGAGGAGTTCTATGCAAATGTGTATTGAATTGTCAGTAAAATTATACCAATGAGGACCTCGTTTTTTCTTTACAGAATCTGGTATTAAACTTTTGTTTTGCCAATTTTATCTAACGCTTTTTGATTATGGCGTCATTTTTTTTTACAAACAAATAATGAATATATATAATGACATTAATTTTTACATTAAATTACTTGACTGATTCTTTACCGCCATAACATCAAAGGAAAAGCATTACTTATATATTTTCACTACTGGCTAAAAATTAACAAAACTTTCGAATTTACTTTATTTTACTTTAAACTAAGCATCGTTTATATAAAAAAGTAACAATAAGCACATGAAGTTATGACCTTTTCTTGAATTGAATCAATTTTGACCATTTCTCCTTGCCGATGTTTGCAGGTAAGCATAGCCTTCTCCCAAGTTTTTTCATCGGTTTTGTCGGATATATAGTAACATGTGCCACTCGATGGTCGTTCTTTCCAACCCTTTGGACATACACCCACATCAACTAAATCATAAATATAGACATATTTACATCTATTCTCATCTACCTTTAGAGATATTTTTGGTTCTAATGAAGTCAATCAGTTAAAGGACACGAGAGACAAGTGAAATTCTCCATCTTAATGCTGATTTCTTGGTATCAAACAATGCAGTTATTAACATTTATACGTGTTTGGAATGACAATAACTTCGTTCTTACTATCAAGAAAGCTATACCTTTTAATATATATTATATCATATAGATAAGGTCTAAACAATTAAACCAAGCGATATTCTCGGTATATTCGCCATGTTCAACATTACTCTTTCATTACGACTAAAGAATTATTTCTTTATTTATTAAACAGTCATTACAGCTGTAGATAAACATGTTCCCTAACACACGGCTAATATACAAAATAGTAAAACTGAGGCCCTGTGAACTTAAGGAAACAAAGAAAATTGAAAGTTAGCGATTTATTTTGAATAACATAAATGACATAGCCTTTTATTATAGCCTGCTGGCGGTACATAACTGATTCTACCTATGTCTCCAATACAGACCAAGATCAGCCGGCACATACTTGCCCTCTGATCAGGATATGCATTGTTCGCTTTCAGAAAGTACTTATATTGGAATTTTCCCTAAAATTGATGAATGGTTTAGAGATTGAAAGATGGACAAGTGCATTTAAAATAATAAGCATATACAGAAGAAATTATCCTACCTGTGTTTGATGGACAACCTAATAGTTCTAGTCGCATTGATGCATTACCATGATATTGTAAAATATTTACACGTAGAAAACGTGCAATAACAGGACAGTCAAACATGTGAGTAATGACAGTATCCGTGTCTGTGTTGCCCACAAAAACCTGAAATAAATCAAATAATGTCGCAAAACGAAACCATCTTAGAACCTATGTCAAATTGACCCAACGAAATAAATCTATTTTGTAAGGAAATACACTTTTTCCCCTTATATACAAGACTTGATCAATGAAAATACAGACGCATTCAGCATGCCACATTTGGAAATCACTCACATTGACTCTGTTGTTTATATAATTAGTAGTTTTGATGGGAAAATTGTCCTGACTTACACCTAATAGGTTTAACAATAACTTTATATTTATATCTTATTGTTTTATGCCAACAAACCAAATTGTGTTTTACTGTTTTGGTTTAAAATAACAATTTCAATAAAATGACTTTACCATTGTAATATAATATATATTGTCTCAATATACAGTGTGTCAAATGATGAAAAAATAAGTGAAATAGTAATAGTTTGTCACCTTTGGTTGTCCAGATTTGTCTTTTAGCATGTCCCATGTCTGACCGTTGATACTGTACTCTATATTGTACCTAGTCGTCCATTCCTGACAACAACCCGAGCTTGGGTTGACGTGCCGACCTTGAGTTGAGATCCCAGTGATTATTGTCAGCCAGTTCATTTTCACCTTGTATGAAAGTTACGTATTAAAGTACATTACAAAAATTAATCAAACAAGCAGCCAATTTCAGTTTCGTGATTGCCAGTTTTAAAACAGTTTTATGTAATACTTTAGAGATATTAAGCTGTTTACAAACGGAATGCTATTTTTATATAAACAATGTGGAACGCATTGTCTTTACAAACACTTCTTTACAAACACTTTACAAACACTTCTTTACAAACACTTCTTACATATTTCGGCATGAAGCAAGGCACTTACTTGTCATAGTACATAAATGGAATTGTTATTTACCTGTAGCCAGGGTTTATTGTCACTACTTGCGGCTGTCCAACCACCCTCAAATGTGAAACCGCTGGCAGATTTGTCGATTTCTATATAAAGCCGAGCGCGATGCGCGTTGTTGCTAAGCGACTTTCTCGATGAAGCAGATAGCTGGCTGTCCGGTATACCACGTGGTCCGGAAACGATGTACTCGTGACATTGTTGACTACCTGAATGTTTAAAAATGTAAATCTTAATATAAGTCTAGTGAGATTATTTTTCCTATGCTAGTATATACTATAGTAACCAAGAGGTGAAACCATGGTCGAATGTATTCCGTGTCTTCCATTCACAAGCACTTTCGCCCACTGCCCATAGATCCTTAATATTTTTACTTGTACCAGGGAGAAGACTTGTTTATCTACAGTGGGATTCTTATATAACATTTAACTTCGTTCGAAAAGCTCCATAGAAAAATAACAAAGAAAATTGCCATAAGCACTTTCTGATATACAATGATTAAAGAATATATTTATGTGCTTGATATTTATATATGACTTCCAAAATTGCTACTTATTTTAATTTCTGGTTAAAAAGTTCAACCCAGTTACATATCAAATTTTGTATGATATCAATTGTGAATTTGGATTTGTATTTAGCAATGAATTGAATACCGAAATTGAGCATATATTGAGCTTGACATTTACTGTGGGCAAATATGTGTCATTATTGCTCTTTTAATCAAACACAAACAAAGAGGTGATAATACTTCTGTGATTTGACTGGTTGACAAATGAACCTCCATGTGGTAACACTCCAAGTGTTGGTGTTGTCAAAGGCGTCGTGGACGTTGGTGTACTCGCCGGCGTTGATGTTGATGTTGTCGGGGGTGTATTTGCCGTCGGGGAAATTGAGGAAACACATCGATATGTTACCTTTGAAATACAATATAACACTTTAGCATGTCCAAATAACATTTACACTTTGCTTGTCTGTTTATTAATTATACATAAAACTGCAGGTCAATTGTTGACAACTACTAATGTTGTTCAACGAGAAATGGAAAAGATTTATAACAAAAACAATATTTCTACATACGTGAAGATATTTAGGTGTAGAAGGACAGGGATCTTCCCCCAGAAAACTGTTGTCTGCATACAACAAGCACGTGGTGCGTGACTGACAACTTTTCTTTACTGCTGATACACTTATCTGAGTGGATCGACAATTTAAGTTCTAAAATAAAACATTGAAAGAATCAACACATATGTTATAGCAATCTTGCAAGCCATATTGAAGTCTTGGGTCAATAAAAATGTTATGATAATTCACCATAAGGTCAATTTAATAACCTAAGGTCAGCTGAGATAATAACCTCACATTAAGTATCAATTACCGATCGATATGTTCGAACAGCTATCGATCGCGATCTTGCGTCTATCATATATTTCATTTCATTTCCTCCTGATAATAATATTAACAAGGAAACAACATTGCAAATAGAATATTTACATCATAAATAAACCATACGTTTCACTGTAAGTTTTGAGAAAATAAATTAAGAGCATTAAGAAGTATATGAAATATGTTTTCGTTTTATATGCAAAATACATGTATTCTAAATTATCATAATTGTACTCTATTTCTTACTAGGCAAGGGCAAGGGCAAGTTTGCATATTAAAAAAAATTGATAACATGCAACCAAAAAAGACAGGCAGTAATGTAGAGTAATTAAATTATAAATAAAGTACCTGCATATTAATGTTGAACATATTGCAAACATTGTTTTGTGTCCGTCCGTACAGGACACTATCTATGGCTATAATGAGGCCAGTTTGACAACTCAGTGTATCCAATTTTGGTTCACAGATCGTCTTTTCCACTGAAATAAGTTGTTGATGATGACGACCCTTAATATATATGTAGTATTCTATTTTATCTATTTTATCGTGTTGCGAAATATTTTATCTAGCTAGTACTTTCAGTGTTGAATGCTAAAATTTCAGTCCATTTTAACAACATAATGGTATGTTACGACACTTTGAACAATGCATACTATTAAATCGCGTTAAAGTGCATTATCAACATTATTTATTTGCTGAATGTAATTTTATTACAAACAAAAAGTAGGAAAATGCCGTGTGTGTTACATATTGACGGTATTTTATAAATGTCTATAATAAATATAATGTCCTCCACGTGTTCACATGGCCTTATGTAATGATTTCACCTATTCATCGTGTACGTCGATAGCTGAATTGTCTCCGAGGTGATTCAGAAAAAATGGCAAGGTGTTTCAAAGGGGTATTTAAAACAGTTTCGTGTAGCAGCAAATTGCAGCGTAAAGTATTTCAAATTCTAATGAATATACACAAACGCAACACTGTTCGAATTGTAAATAACAATTAGATTGACAATTTTATTAGAAAAGCAAATTTATTGATCCGTAACTGGCTGGTTAGACAGTGGTCCGCTGTAGTTCTGGCTTCCAAAACCTTATAAGCCACTTTTTAAAATTTTGTTCTTGCATCAGAGGCGGAATAAATCTGTATTGCATATTAAAGTTAGCCATTAACCTTTTTCATTAAAAAAATATATATTGAGAGCACAAGGCATTTTTATCTTTAACCCATACATATTAACCCATAAAGGTCAATCTCGTAATCACGTGATCAAACATTTTACAAGATGGTGGCGAAGTGCTAAAATCTGTTCATGGTAGTTTAGGTTTGATTTTAGACATTAACTCGGGGAATGAATACGAACGTGCCAGATTCCTTGTACGAATAATGATGGACTTTCCATACAGCTTCAACGTACCCGTCTTGTCACAGAATAAAAATGGGTACGTTGGAGACATTTAGCTACATTAGTAGAGAGCACATCCAGCGTGCACTATACCTTGCAATCAAGCCAGGCTAATATTGGCAGAATAATCTAACTTAAATTCACCATGGATAGTTTCAAGCATGAGAGTTGAACAAGTCCATTTAAATTAGCAAATTAAGAGTAATAGATAGAGACTTACACGCTCGGGTAAACGACAGTGACAAACCTGTAAATACAAGTCCCATGAAACATTAAAGCCATCATTTCGAAATAATTATATCAACAACAAAAAAAATTACATATCAATTAATGTACTGGTGGTTTTCTTCTTTGAAAGAAAAAAATAACGGAAAACATGTATGTTTTTCAAAGTTTTAATCCTTAATTTACTCCATTGATCTACAAAGTTAATGACATACAACATTTATCAATTTATCATAACCGAATTACCAAAAAACGTAAAGTACTTGAATTTAGCATAAATTACAGATTAATGATAATTAACCTACAGCAATATTATTTTCTGAAATAGTTCCTGCTTTAACAATATTGACAAAAAGGATATATGTCGCTTTCGTTAAAGTTGTAGAATGTTAAGTAGGAAATATTTACTTACAAATTATAAGAATCCTCTGATACATCCTTATGACATAATAAAGATACACAACTTATAATAAAGCAAACCAGTTTGTTTTTAAACGAGCGGTAACCTATAGCAAAAAAAATGTAATATTTCTGTATGGTTATGTCACACTATCATTGATGAATTACATATTTTGTACCATTTTTAGGTCATCTTCTCTCCGGGATTAAGTCGTGTCCTTTTGAGGACTTTGTTGTTTAATTACCATAACAACGGGTCGTTTTATCATACAGTTTGCTGTGAGCGAGCAGAAAGGGTGGATCTTAATGATGTTTGGAATCAAAACAAGACACTTGTGCTGTGAATTTGGACGGCCTTTATCGGATGTTTTTCATTTCGTTGTATACAATATCTTTTATAACTGGAAATAAGAGTTTATAGCTTTATTTTTCTTTACTGACAGACTGGAAGACGTGGGAGGGAAGGCTACCGCATCCAACTTAAACGTTGTTTTATACATTGTTTACAATCTGACTATTGACAGTTTGCTGCTCAAGTCCATATTAATAGTTGTTTTTTGTTAGTGATACATATCATCACTTCTGTATTGAAACTGAGACCATCTAGTAACAAAACAAAATCATAAAGATATCGAATCATCAACGAGATTTTGACCCGCCTCAATGTTTTAGCGATGACAAATGTGAACTTCCACCTTTTTGCCATTTTCACATTATCAGCAATATTGTTAGTTTGTTTATAATTTTGACAATTTGTTTTTAACACACAAGCAAACACAAACATAACTTCAGTAACGGATTTTAGATAAAGTATAACTTAATGTACTAGTTTAGGGTTAGCCGCACTTGCAATTCATAATTTTATTCTTTTTCTCTTGAGAATATCCTGCAAGGTGTGTACATAAAATGTTAGACTTGCTTGATTTGCGGTTAGATCATACGTTAGTGGTTTAATAAGACACACCTTCTGTATTATTCCCTAAATGTGCCAATACACGATTTATAAATTAATACTAACAAAAAAAAAACAACTTATTTTTGCAACTGATTTTGCATATTTTAGTTTAAACATATTTTTTTTTGTAAATACATACATACATGTAATATACTATACAAATGATAATGATCTAGCAAACATCAAATGGGTTGAGCAACAAGTTCTAGCAACTTCCCAGAAAATTGATGTTTTGAAAACATACTTCTAGTGCAACAATGATTAATTTTAACATATAAATTATATATATACAATTTCAAATATGTAATTGATCTTTACAGTTCATTTATTAATTAAATGTATTGATGTTAATGTACGACCCATCCACAGGTTGCCATCCTGCTGTCTTCACTTAAGCAGTGTTATTAATATAATTGTAGTGGGTTTTTTTTGTTGTTGTGTTTTGTTAGTGTTTTATTTTCCATAGGTTTCAACATTTTTATGTAGGTTTCTTTTTATATAAGACACACAAAATGATTACGTTTGCATCTTGAAACATTAAACTTTATGAAACATTTGCAAAAACATAACATGTACCAAAACAACTTTTTCATGAAATAAAAAATATTGCTATAAGCTTGCAATAAAGAAAATAGTGATTAGAAGTTACAGGTGTTTGTTCTCGCAATGAACCTTACATATCAAAAATAACAATGACGATGATAATAATAATAATAATAATAAAAATAATAATAATAATAATAATAATAATAATAATAATAATGATAATGACAATAATGATAAATCAAATGGCCTCCCAAAAGAATAAAATTAAATACATGTACTCATTTATCATAAAAATAACAAAAAATCAAAAGCAACAATGATCTCAATAATGTTTTAATATTATTTTTGCAGTTAAGTTTTGTAACATGTGTATTCAAATGTAGATTTTGTTGAGTGCAATGAAAATCAAATATTGGAAGAATGTGCGCATTGTTAATTAAAATTTTCATAATATCAGTATTAAAGAACAAATACAGTGCGTTTCAATGATGCAATTTTAGTGTTTATTTTATTTTATACCATACGGAATAAATCTGAGGGTGCCGATTTAAAGCATTGTCAATATAGACTCCTCATACCTTCTTCACTATAACATTTTAACAGTTTCACGTGTACTTTCAATTTAAGCTGACAAGTGCCGAGATCTAAGAACCATTCAATTGTTGTTCCTAGGATTGAGGGACATTTTGTTTTCTGCACACCAAGCAGTACATTGAAGATCAAAATGTAATTCTATTTTATTTGAATATCTGATAATTTGAAATAATAATTTAAAACCTGATTGAAAAAGAGTTGAGTTGTCATTTGAACTATTTAGGCTTGCAAAAATGACTCAGGCATTATGTGTGTACCCAATGAGCATTTAAAAGATTAATTACAAAACATAGTGACTGTAAAGCCGAATAATTAACGCGTCAAGGATTGTTGTCAGTGCGTGTTCAAACCCCGTTAGGACCGAGCCGTTGTACATGTTTCCTTGAACAAGAAACTTTACACCCATGTCTCAGTATTGGTTGGTCATTTAAGAAAGTGTCTTTAAACTTTCTACCTACTCGAACCAATAGAAATCCTACATAAACCAAATTGATAAATATAAGATATTGTATATGGAACGCCTGGACTGTCTTATATTAAGAATGAATGATATACCTGGTTAAATGTCTTTCTGTTGAGTCCGAGATACAAAATGCTGGGTGGAAATCCTAATGTGCTCAGTTATTGAAACGCTATGTTGTGTGCTGACTGTATTTTATTCAGTCAAGTCAATGTATTGTCGGGTGCATAAGTCGTTATGTTCAGTTCTTAAAACAAACAGGCATGTGGTAACACAATTATGTTGAGTTAAAAAGATATGTTGTAGGGTGTTACAGTTATTATGTTCGGTTATAATACTATGCTGTTTGGTGCTCTTCTCATCACGTTCAACCATGAAAATCAACAGTTGAGTAGTACTATCATTTTGTTTGGCTGAGGCAGTGTATTATTGGGTGATACTTTTATTATTTTCAGTTGCAATGACATGCTGTTAGGTACTTTATTCCTTCTGTTCAGTCGTGAAATAGAACTGTTAAATGGTACAATCATTATCTTAAATGGTACTATCATTATCTTGTGTGCTGATTATATCTTTTTCAGTCAAGTCAATGTGTTGTTCGGTGCAAAGGTCGTTATGTTCAGTGGTTTTTTGGTACTATCATTATGTTCAGTTCAGATGATATACAGTTCGGTGCATAGGTCATTATGTTCAATAGTGAACACAAACTGTTGTGTGATACCACAATTATGTTGGGTTCATTCGGATATTTTCGGGCAACAAGATGGGAGCGACTTATTTCCATAGGTCACGTCGAGGCTGCTGACCACTAAATTGCCAAAACAATTTTCTTCCCCGTAAATATCATCGGGGGCTTAAGAACGTTATTTTCATAAATTGGACTTTTAAATACCCAATGGGTATTTTATTTAGTTAATTCATGACTATACTATACTGTTTCAGTCATAATGGGTACAGTATATAAAACTTAAAGTATGGGTAAGGGTGGTCTGTTAAAGTCACACATGACCACCGTAAATAAAACTTAAAATTGATCTGTTTGGTAACCTATAAGAGTCACAAATGGACACAGCAAACGAAATTTAAAATATAAAACATCATATACAAGTAAGGGAACCCTTTTTGAGTCACACATGGCAACAGTATATGGAGCATATAAGTAAGGGTAGCCTATTAAAGTCACATATGGCCACAGCATATGCAACTTAAAATATATGTGTTGGTAACCCATTTGAGTCACACATAACCACAATAAATGGAACATAATATCTATGTAAGGGAAACTTATTTGAGTCACACATGGCCACAGTATATGGAACATTAAATATAAGTAAGGGGGTAAGCGCAATAAAGTCACACATACCTACATTATGAAGAACATTCTATATAAGTAAGGGTAACATAATTGAGTCGCACTACGCCAAAATATATGGAACATTATGTTTACGTAAGGGAAATCTATATGAGTCACACATGACTAAAGTTTATGGAACATTATATATAAATAAGGGTAGCCTAATAAAATTAGACTCAAATACATTTCCCTTACTTAAACATTATGTCTAATATATTGTGGCCATGTGTGACTCAATAAGGTTTCACTTACTTATATAGAATTTTCTATATAGTTGGCCATGTTTGACTTTATTAGGCTACCCGTACTTATATATAACGTTCAATTTACTGTGGTCATGTATGTCTCAAATGGGGTTTCCATACTTATATTTAACGTTCCATATACTGTGACCATGTGTGACTCAAATAGGTTTGCCTTCCTTGTATATTATGTTTCATATTTTAAATTTCGTTTGATGTGTCCACTTGTGAGTCTAAAAAGTTACCAACACATATATTTTAAGTTTTATTTACGGTGGCCATGTGTTACTTGAACAGGCTACCCTTACCCATATTTTAAGTTTTATATACTGTGCCCATTATGACTGTAACAGTATAGTATAGTCATAAATTAATCTGATAAAATACCCATTGGGTATTAAATATGCCATACGATCTGTCCAATTTATGGAAATAACGTTTTTGAGCTCCTGATGGTAATTACGGGGGAAGAAAATTGTTTTGGCAATTTAGTGGTAATTAGCCTCGACGTGACCTATGGAAATTAGTTGCACCCGCCCGCCATCATGTTTGACGCGAAGATATCCGAATGAATCCAACATAATTGTATGACCACTCAGCGCATTGTCAAATGACTTGTGCACCGAACAGTATATCATCTGAACTGAACATAATGATAGTATCACACAACAGTTTGTGTTCACTACTGAACATAATGACCTCTGCACCAAACAGGATATCATCTGAACTGAACATAATGACGGTATCACACAACAGTTTGTGTTCACTACTGAACATAATGACCTCTGCACCGAACAGTACATCATCTGAACTGAACATAATGACCTCTGCACCGAACAGTATATCATCTGAACTGAACATAATAACAGTATCACACAACATTTTGTGTTCACTACTGAACAGAATGACCTCTGCACCGAACAGGATATCATCTGAACTGAACATAATGAAAGTACTATTCAACAGTTCTATTTCACGACTGAACAGTCTCAATAAAGCACCCAACAGCATGTCATTGCAACTGAAAATAATAAAAGTATCACCCAATAATACACTGCCTCAGCCAAACGAAATGATAGTACCACTCAACTGTTGATTTTCATGGTTGAACATGATGAGAAGAGCTATTTTAACCGAACATAACAACTGTCACACCCTACAACATATCTTTTTAACTCAACATAATTGTGTTACCACATGCCTGTTTGTTTTAAGAACTGAACAGAACGACTAATGCACCCGACAATACATTGACTTGACTGAATAAAATGTAATCAGCACACAACATTACACTTCAATAACTGAGCGCATTTGGATTTCCACCCAGTATATTGGGATTTTGACCCAGCATATTATATCTCGGACTCAACAGAATGACATTTAACCATGTATATCAGTCATTCTATACATAAGACAGTCCAGGCGTTCCATAATTGTAAGTAGTTACAACTTCTGCAGGTTGTCAACTCATATGTTTAACTCGTAATCTGCTGGAATTTTACAGTGGAGTTGTCTTGCTTTGATTAAAAAAAAAGTCCGTTCAAAGTTAAAATACACAAATTGAGCTACCAACAATAGAGAATCGGACCAGAATTTCATATTCATAATATGATACTAAAAAAATAATGCAAAATGTCAAATTCATAGAAATATGAAAAATGTTACGCCCGTTAGATTTCTGTACTGGTAATTATGTAACAAAAGTTTAAATGTGTTAAGGTAAGCGCGACTTATTCAAAATTAATCTTGGTTGGTTGGTTGATTGATTGATTGATGGATTGATTGATTTCAGATCAGTCCTCACTTTTCATTATTCAAATTTGGATTAATGATCCAAAAATGATAAGTGTTGTAACGCTTTTCACTCAAATCGGGATAAAAAATCACAAGAAAAAAATATGATTTTCGTATTATTTCTGAGTATATTTCTTATTTATTTCTTATTAATATTCTGTCTTAAGTGTCCAGCTGATCTATGTAAGAAATTTTATGTTTTTTAGGCTTCTGGACCTCGGTATTCATGTAGTTTTTTTTGTTTGACAACTGAAATGGTTCAATGTTGTAAAGTGTTATGTAAACAATGTAGTAAGTGAAAACATTAACTCCCCTAGAGATTTTTTTTGTCAAAATCCTAAGCGTTTGTTTTGACTGAAGTTTATCCCCTTCCATAACTCTTCTGGACATTTGAAATCACACAAGTCTATCAATAGTTATTTGGACACGTTTTTAATTCATAATTAAATCCGATAATGAATAAATTTATTAGATAAGTTGAAAGAAGGTGGTATTGAAAGCCGTTTTGATATCTGAGATAAGTGTAACATGAAACGTTTGTAAGTATGAAGAACTTTTGCCTGTTTTTTTCCCGTTTTATTTGTAAATAAACTCTGATTTGTACTATTGGAAAGTTATCAAAGGCTATAATCCCTTAGTTTATACCCCCACACAGTGAATGTAATCTCGTCGATGGAATGTAGTTATAATATAAAAGCGGTCACCAAAGTACGAAATTTAGACCACTTAAAATGTAATTATACACTGCAAACCTCAATTAATAAACATAGTGTTACATCAGAGGAGGCGTAGAATATGGGGCCAACTTCATGTTTGTTAAAGACATACGCCAAATAAAAATCTTTGTTTTTAAGGAAGCACCCAAACCGAAATTAAAAAACAATTAATCAAGATGTTAAGGAGAAAGGTTACCTAAAAAGACATATTTGCTATCAAAAGTTTTGACCTTTGACAAATATATGTGCAAAGAGTTGCGCTCTGAGAATGCAGTTGTAATTTGCTCGAACGTATAAAAAATGACACATGCGTTTGTTCCAAAATGACATAAAAAAGTTGAATTTCTAATTAACTGTTTATGTTTCTTCCAAGCTATCTAAAACCCATAAATATGCCTTTGCAATTTTATAATATTAAAAAAAAAAGAATGACAATTGTGCAGTTTTTCTTTCTTTTTGTGTTCGCTACATAAATGACTTCAAAGAAGTTTGTTGTTAATTTTTGGAAACGATGATGAAATTGTACTCTTATCCAATGTATATTCCAATTAGGGGACACCAAAACCTTAAGTACAAACCTCTAAAAGTACGCCTTACTGTCGCGTACTTGAGATCTAGAATTATATCATATCCATATACAAACATATTTCTAAAGTAAATATAGGCCCAGCAAACACCCTTTGTTTTCAAAACATTGCCCTTTGACAACCTATGTCGTGACTTTTATATATAAGCCGGACTGGTCATCAGTTCTTATTAAGAAATCGTGACTTAAACTTACAAACATTAGTGCTTACTCGAAAAGTGATTCTTAACTTAGAAATATATAAAAACTTAATTAAATGTACTTTTGTTCTTTAGCAATATTTCATTCACGTATTTTTTCTCTTCAATTATTGTGGAAGCAGTTATAGAAGATGAGATTTATTAAATTTGCTCTGTTTGTATTAGTACAAACATCTGTTGTTTCAGGTAAGCTGAAATGTTGAATGAAACAAATAGATAATAAAATTTGTTAGTATATAAATATATCTTATATTTTATAATTATAGTAAGTATGTATTGGACATTAAAATGACATTAAAACATAAGTAGGACGTAAACGTTGTAAGTAAATGAATAAAACTAATGTCTTGGAATGAACAGTAAATATTTTTGGCTATTAAAATGCCATTAAAAGCCGCGACTTTAACGTATTGCAACTAGAAAACTAACATCTATAACGATATAGCTTGAAATATGTTTTAATTATGTAAAATTTTGTAGGTATCCAAGAAGAAATCTGCGAGCAAAAGGGTGAATATATCACATGTCCATTTGGGAAGGTTCTAGACATTATAAAGGTTGATTACGGGAGGTCACGGGTTGGATTCTGTAACCCTTACAATGTGCCAAACCTCCCGACAAACTGTCATTCTACGTCAGTCAGTTTCAACACAGTGGTGAAGTTGTGTCAATATAGGGGCTCGTGTTTTTTAGAGGCTGACAATACCATATTAGGTGAGTGCTGAAAAAAAACACCCAAGATTAAACAATATTTTGCTTTGAACATATTTTTTACAGTTTGTGTTTAGACAATTTTGAAAAGAAAATATACATAGATGATAAAAGCGCTTATTTGCTTTCTATTTTTTTATGAGGTTACTTGCCTAAACGTTAGATGAATTTATTTAGAAAACCAAATCAACAGTTTCAAACAAATTAACAAATATTTAATGATTGAAACTGAATATTTCTTATATTTCTTGTTATAGGTGAAGATCCATGTACTGGTTTTCCAAAGTACCTAACGATTGATTATGACTGTGTAGTCCCGACGACGACGACCAAACTCACAACTCCGACGACAACACCGTCTACGACATCTAGCACGACGACAACCAGTACGACCAGCACTACCACGCCAACTACAACCAGTTCAACCAGTACGACCACTTCAACAACCACCAGTACCACCACACCGACGACCACCAGTACTACAAGTACCACCACGCCGACGACCACCAGTTCCACTACAACAAGAACTACACCAACAACTACGAGGATGCCGACGACAACGCAATCCCCAGTAGTTCCTTTTATGCCGTTTAATGCTCCAAAAGGTATGTAATTTTTTTCTATGTGAGTACTGAAAATAACAAAACTACCTATTAAACATCTTTTTAAGTTATATTGTAAGACATTATAATAATCGTGGCTAGTCAATCAAAAACTACTTAGGCAGTTACTTACCCCATACTTTAAGCAATTTCCAGTTAAAGTTAGGTTTATAACCTTTTAAGGTCTCAGACTGAATTGGAAAAAAATATCCATTTTTCTTAAAACTCGAGTGCTAAACGAATTTTGTTTGGTCTTATGTTTGCCCTATTTTCCTTAGTTCATCGATTGTTATAAAATATTTGGTCGCCTTATATAACAAGAAAGGTTATTGCAAGGGAAGCATTATATTTATTACATTAAACCGAAAATAAAAACATTAAACCGACAAAAAACTGAAAGGGAATAGTGTAATTTATTTACAAGACAATATTGAGCATTGTTATCCGCGTTTAAACCATATTTCACAATTTCAGGTTCTCAGGTATGCCATGACTATTTGGTGAATGGAAAGAACCCCGTCCCTGATGGCCAACTGTCGGCGACGTCCGTATATCAGACCGGAAGTTACCTAGACAACCACGGACCAAACAGGGGTAGACTTTTCTCTGACGCTGTTGTTTTGCCAAATGGTACATACAATCGTGGTGGATGGTCGGCGGCCGTCGATAATCATCAACAGTATATACAGGTTAAACGATTATTTACCAAGCAAACGAGTGCTCGCTTTACCTTGAATTTTAGCTTCTTATTCCTTAAAGAGACTCCATTGAGCGTTTTTAAAATAACGGGACAGGAAAGTTTTTCGAGATTAATGCTACATTTGATATAAGTCTAGACCAATAACTCGTGAGCAAAATTTCAAATCATTCGCTCACTTGTTTTTCCAGACTTATTATTCTAATATTGAAAAATGACCTAAAAATGAAAAGGGCTGCAACACTTTTCACTCAAATCGGGCAAAGAAATAGCAAGCACAAATATACGATTTATTTCTGAGTATAATTTTTAATTATCATTTGCATATCTTTCAGTTTAAAGTACCCACATTAACCTATGTAAGAACTTCAAATTTTATGATATTAGTTTTTTGGACCTCATTGGAGTTCCTTTAAGAATTTCAATTTTTCCAGATGAATGGTTAGATTTTACGATTGCAGTCAATAACTTAATGTGATAGAATCATCTGCTGAAGGTATACGCATACATGTAAACTTATACAATTTGAGACGTAACTGAAATGTTCATTGTTATAAAAACTAGTATGAAAAAATATAATACAATGTATATGCTGTTTGCATTTTATAATAAAGGTTCAGTTGAATGCACCAAGTATTGTAAGAGGTGTTGCAACACAAGGACGTCATGTTAACCCCAACGACCTTTGCTGTTACCAGTACGTGAAGAGATACCGGGTCATGTACAGCTTGGATTGTGTCAATTTCGAAACCGTCAAAGATCAATCTGGAAGTGATATGGTAAACAACGATCTTAGCTTTTAAAATGATTATTTATTTTATAGTTGCTGTTTAGAAATCAGTGACAATAATCTGAAGCCAATGGCAATATCAGAAATACTCATGACGTCACCGTGTAAAAAACATACATGTTGATATGGAAACAAAAAATATGTAAATGCACATAATGTTACATGCCAACTGGTTCGCTTCAACAACTGATTTCTGTAACAAAACATGATCGTTTCATGGTAAAATGTAAGACTCAAAGCATTTGAACCATTCCAAATTTACTTAAGCATATCTATATATCAAATGTACATACATATCCCGATTAACTTATTCATTTGAAAAGTCATTAGATTAAAAGAAACAACTGATTTTTTAAAAAGGAACCATCATTATTTCCTGTCTTAAAAATAAAATCTGATATTAAGTATTATATTAACATCAAAATCTGTAGGAAAAACAAACTTTGTTTTCGCAGATTTTTACCGGTAACGCGGATCAAGACAGTGTTGTAACTCAGATGTTACCATGTCCGATAATGGCAAGGTGTATCCGCATAAACCCTTTAGACTGGAAGGACCATATTTCAATGAGATTTGATCTTCTGGGATGTAGTGCAAATACTGGTTAGTTAATTTTATATAAACCTACGAATAAGATTTTTAAGTCAATCAAAAAGAAAAATACTTTCCAATAATTGTTGCAGTAATCTTATGGAGCCTTGTATGTTTGCTTCTTCGGTCATTTTATATTACTCATAACCAATTTAAAGTGACGCAGACATTTCTTTGTGTGCTTAAATGTTAAATACTTTACCGAGCGTATGAGTACAGTACCGACATAGCGTCCTCCTATTTAAAAGAAGCAGTTTAACAGAAGCAATACTTAGATCACATGTAAAAAAAACATTAATATGCATTTTAAGGGACTTCACTGAGATCTGGAGATTTTTGACATGATAGGATCGGAAATAGTTTTCAAGATTTCTGTGCTTTTATTTGTTGCAGGTATACACAGATAGCTTGTATGCAAAATTTCAAAACATTCGCTTACTCCATTTTTTCCAGAATTATCAGTTTTAAAGTATAAAATGATCTTAGCTAACTCGAATGACGCTAGAGAATCGCACAAAATGTAATTTTATTCTGCCTACAATTCTCCTTTTTCATTTTTAAAGTGCCCCAGTTGATCTGTGTAAAAAAGATCAAGCCTCTAGACCTCATTGATCTCCTTCAAGCATTGCTGCATTGATTGATATTTTTATTTTAGCTGATCTTGGAAAGTGTCCAAAGGGTTGGGAACAACGCCCCGGAAGTAACCAGTGTTATCTTATTACTGGTGTGAAGGACATGCGCACAAGAGATGATGCCAGCGCCGAGTGCCAAAGGCAACAAGGTCATCTTGTAAAAATCGATTCCATTGCTGAAAGGGTACGAGATTAGTTTGTTTTGAAAAGTTGTCAACCAGCCTTGAAAACGTAGACAAAATGGCAAAAAATCAAATGAACAGCGTCCATCTTAATACTTGTGAAGTCAATGTTACATTTCATTAATTTTGAATTGTAGATAGTGCGTTATATATAGTAGATGTTCCATATTGTTAGTAATTAGATTATTGTTCTTTTTGATGTTTTACCACGCTTACAATCTTTAATGAACTTGTCAAAACCATTGCTTTTAGGGAAAATTTCAAAATATGTCCTGACTGAATAGCACGGATGGAAGTGGTCTGCACTGGTCGCATGGCTGGAACTACAGTTGCCGCCAGCATGCTATGGGTTAAAAAAAACTATTTTATAGCCAGCCTCTTTAACCCTAAATATTTCCCTTAATATTGTCGTCTGCAATGAAAAAAATTCCTCAATGTAATTATTTATATGTTTCAGGACTGGTTACGTCAAAAGGTAGCTTACCTTCAGCAAACACAGGGACAATACCATTTCTGGACGGGTCTCAGTAACAGACCAAGAACTGATAATACCGGATATACATGGGAAGACGGAACTCCTATAAATGCATATATCATGTAAGACATTTTAGTGCCATGACATTCATTATACTTACGGTACTCACGATAGACTTGTAAAATCGTTCCAGTTTGATTTTATCCATGAAAAGGAGTTTAAAAAACACTAGTTACATCATAGTCTCTGTCAGATAATCCGCAAATAAATATGAAGATTAAATTGTCTTTAAATTGCCATGAAACAGTCTGTGATTGTTCAAGCCGAAGTCCTAAAATTTTCGTACATTTGGACAGAGGTATTAGAAGGGTTCATTTACACAAGAAGTGAATATAATCAATAGAATTTGTGATTGAAAGTTTATTTTCATATTTCATTTATATATGTTCATGTTACATTTCAGGCCGTGGAAATCTGGCCAACCTGACAACGGTGGTGGTGGGGAACACTGCGGTGAATTATGGAGCGGAGAAATGAACGATAATGATTGTAATCAGCATTATCCTTATATCTGCGAACAGTCTAAATGTAAGTACTACTATTCAGTATTATCAGTATATCTGTGAAAAGTCTAAACGAAAGAAATCAACATTATCCGTATATCTGTGAACAGTCTTTATGTAAGTAATCATCATTAACCGTATATCTGTGAAAAGTCTAAATGCAATACTGCAGTAATCAATATTATCCGTATATCTGTGAACAGTCTAGATTTAAGTAATCAACATTATCCGTATATCTGTGAACAGTCTAAATGCAAGTACAAGTAAGTATTATCCGTATATCTGTGAACAGTGTAGATGAAAGTCAATCCTTCTAGTCTTGAGTTTGGATCTTTAAGCTTCAAACTTTTACGACTGAGCAACCACCATTATATAGTATGGTCAGGAAGTATATATTGAAACATTATGTTTAAATTTTAGCCGCGATTGTAACCTATATTAGTTTTGAAAGAATAATACTTTACAATGAAAAGATTTTCTTGTATTACTCGAAAGAAATGTGGACATTAAAAAATCAATTGTCCAAACAAACAGGCACTGATTCGTCAATCGTTGTTAAGACTACACATGCGGCTGCCGGTAAGTCACTGTCTGTGATTTTGTACCATGGTTTCCTTTAGTATAAGCATATATTCGTTTTTCTTTCTAGTTTGGACACCACCAAAGAATGTACCAAATCCTTTCAATTCTCACATAATACCTACAACTTTACCAACTCCTTCACCAACCACAACGAGAGCTCCACCTACAGGTAAAAATATATATAACCTAATATCAACATTTTTGACAAATTGATTAATATATCACGTTATAACTCGCCTTCACCACCCAGTTCGATACATACAAGAACCTTTTTAAGACAGATTAGTGTATTATTGGTTATAATGATAGCAAGTCAATGGAAGAACATTTGCACGGCGGACAGATCGTCTTTCTTTGACTTCTGACGATGTTCTTTGTTTATCTTTCAAATTTCATTGTCATTTATATAAAAAAAACTCGTCATGCTCAGTAAAACGGTTTTTAAACAAAATAATAAGATTTAGACTATGAGTAAAATTAATGTGCATTTTAAGTATGTATTCATTAATTGCTCATTTAAACCTTTCCATTATTCACATTTTTTTCAGTTAAACAATATGTACGACCACAACTTCCTGGCAGTGTAACCGTCAACGGAATATTATATTCAAGTAAGTGACTCATTATGCTTTGCAATGAGTAATAAGGGCTTGCTTTGTGTATTTCTTCGCATATGTGGATAGGCTTTCTCTAATGCTTCTTAAATAGTTGAGCCGCGTCACGACAAAACCAACATAATGGGTTTGCGACTAGCATGGATCCAGACAAGCCTGCGCATCCGCGCAGTCTGATCAGGATTCATGCTGTTCGCTATCTGTTTCTCTACTTGTTATAGGTTTTGTAAGCGAACAGCAAGGATCCTGATCAGACTGCGCGTATGCAAGGCTGGTCTGGATCCATGCTGGTCGCAAACCCATTATGTTGGTTTTGTCATGACGCGGCTCAGTTCATCCTTTGGTGACAGCTTCCGTGTATGTAGAGTTGATGATTTTTGTCTGGGTTACTTAACAAGTTAAAAATAGTTTGCCGGTGAGAGAATTGTATAATTGTTTCATTACAAGACTCTATATGAGTCATTCATGTCAGTGTTCGGGCTCTAACAATGATCACAATTTGTCTACTGGACAAAAAATAGACAATAGCGGCGTCACGAATTTACTCGAACCCTCAGCTTATGCGCGGTCTCTCGAGTTCCAAAAGCTTTAGCGACCACCGAAACATCGGCAACAACAAAACAATAGTTAGTGTCCGAACCTCACCAGCGTCATTCTTATACCGCGCTTATCTGGTGTTAATTTGGCTTTCAGATTTTTAGTAACGCTTATTTTAGTTGCTTTCCTAACACTTTATGTCCTTACACAAGGCCAGTAGTGAGGGCATATAGATAAACTTGCATCAATGTCAGTGGTGAAGGGGTATATATATTATTGCTCTTTTTCAGCTGGTTGCCTCAGTCAAGTCTCCGACTGCAGTTTTAGATCAGCCGGCGATTACCAGTCGTGCCAAGGCTGCCATTATTATATGACATGCGCGCCTTCTGGAGTTTTTACGAGACCGTGCCCTGCAAGATTAGTATGGGATGATAATGTGAAAACATGTCAAGTGTTGTCATCAACATGTGGCCCTGTGTTTGGTTGATGAAGATTTAATGACAATAGATAGCAATATTGACTATATTTGAATGTGTTCATTGAGATGTAGGAGTATTTAATCATATAGGAAACTGACGTGTTGCTTATCAGAAATATGCGCACTATTTGCTATAAGTGTAATTCCTTTGATGGAAATTCTTTATAGCATATCATATTCGTCAAATATAATAAAATGTAATAATAAATCTATTTTGTAAAATATTAAAACATTATGTTTTGTAAGTTTTTACATACTTTCCATCCAATTTTTTTCATTCATTAATTCATGAATATAATTTATTTTACTCTTTATTCACTTTGTTTTGAAAATTTTCATTTCTTGTTTTTCAACAAAATTATATCATGAACATATACATTCATTACCTTCACTCATAGATGATTACAGCATGTATATTCTCATCAATTATTGTAGAAGGCTGCAGTAACGATTGTACGGGTAAAGGGGAGGGACGCTACCAGTCCTGCAAAGGATGCCATTATTTTCTTGCGTGCGCAGCATCTGGTGAATTCCACATGCCGTGTGCAGCAAATGGTAATTGGGACGATAATGCCAAAACATGCCGAATGCGATCATCTACGTGCGGGCCTGTGACTGGCTAAATCATCAACAGCCAAATTACCGCTCGCTCACAGTTGATAAACATTGCGATCTTTTATGTCATGTGCTAACAAATTCTTGTTTTCATCAACAGTGAATTGTCAAGAGGAAATGTTGTATACTGATGGAATAAGACCGTAAGCCTGAGAAATTTAGGAATGTATATGTGTTATTTGTATTTTATCAAAACATGAAAATACATTTTTTCTAATAAACTGTTTATGCTGCACACATCAGTGTTAACTATTAGTAATCTGGTATGGAATAAACTTATACAGCAAAATACATACAGATATACAGTACGATTTAGATTGCAAAGACCAGAAAATACCACAGAGCTCGCAGCCCTTTGATTTTTAAAATAAATGGCCATTTAGCTTTGCTTATATTATTTTGTGTACAATCATTATGAAAAGAAAAGTAAATATTTTCTTTTCATAACAATAATATAATAATATATACGGAATGACAAAATGTCCAAGTGCTTTTGAACCTCTAGAAACGAATGTCAATTGCAATCATAATCAGAATCTATGTTCTTCAACGCCCCTATCACTTCCGGGGTTACTTTTGAAGCACAGAGTAAGAAAGTGTTTCTGCTTGTATTTCATTGCTAACATCTCAGATGAGGAGTAAGTCCATAAATCTATTATATTTTGAATACACCAAATGTGATCTATGTAAAATGGTAAAAAAATTACCTGGTCTTGAATAACTTGCTACCTTTTAAAATCCAAACTACCTTTGTGATTTTATATCCTCAATTATTAAACGTTGTATTAAACAAGGTTCAACACAAATAAACATGTACAAAATTAAATTATAAAGAAAACTACAAGGATGATATTTTTCTGATAATTTTATTGCTGATATTTTAAATAGTTCTAGACATGAAAATATTGGCACAACTGAAATCAACAGTAAACGTATGTATCAACTTCTTGACAAAGCTACCGAATATAAATGGTTCCTTACAATAGTAAAATTAAACTCTTGCCGTTACTTATATAAACAATTCACTAAACATTTTTTTTTAAATTAATTTACTGCATGATGTGACATATTCAATTAACTTTATTTATAATTATATATATATATATATATATATATATATATATATATATATATATATATATATATAGAGGATATTGAATGAGTGTAGTTTAATACTAAATTTATTGAACGAGTTGAATAAAATCATATAATGCGAGCTCTCTAAACCGAAGCCATAATAATTGTCTATTGAAAAGTTTCAATAAATTAAACTTGATTTATAGATTAATATTTTATTTCAAATAATAATTAAGACGAAGAAAAAAGTAATTTTCTTGACACGCTATATGTGAACATAAAAGCGTCCTTTAACGCATGAATATACAAATGACGTGACTTCAGACGAGATTATTCAGGTATAATAATTATACAGAAATATTTTTATCAATGTGCTTTATTACATCTACTATTGTTTAATGTGAATAATAATATTTATAATAATTCGCTTGTCAAAGGATGTTTTTCTCCATGATTATATAAAAATACCAAATACTTTCAATTTTCTAAAATAAAAGTACTTCAAATTTGCTTAACTTAAGCATCTTTCCCGTTGTTTTCTTACTAAAGAAAACATTAACTCATCTAAGTACGACTTTTTATATAGAAAAGTTTTAAAAATGTAAAATTAAACTTTACTGATTTATAGATTGATAGGTGATTTTTTTTCAAACAAGTAACTTCACATGAGAAGAAAAAATAAAGTGTTGTAGTAACAACTTTATAATTTTGAATGCATAAAAGATCAGTTTTCATATGACACATATGAAATATACATGAATACGTGAATTAGATGAGATTTCCGGTAATAATACATTATACAGAAAATAAATATTAATACACATATTAATAAGATCTGCCAAGAGTTGTATAAAGTTAACAATAACATTTTCATCAAATGAACTTCAGACTTGTAAATGACAAAAGCGTTGCATGTTTTTTTTCACATGATTTAGTAACAATACAATAATGACATTTCAAGTTGTTTTTTCGTATTAAACTACAAAGCAACATTCAACATTTGTTTAACCTAAGACATCTCTTCTGTTGTTTTCTTCTGAGATTTTTTAATTATTTTTTTTCCTAAAGTAACACTAAGTTTATTAAGTGATATAAAGTAACACTAGCACTGTAAATGTTATATGGCAACTTTCCAGATCTACTGGTGGAAGAATATCTCAGGTGCCCCTTCATTCATTATTTCAGGCACAAGCTGGCACCTGAATAGACCAAGCTTGTAGTACGGAGCAAGTGGTTTGAGTCGTTTGACATTTATGATGTAAGCACACGTCACGATGATCTTTTATAATGACCGCGTCAAGTATGGGAGTCAGTACATTCTGTTTATAATATAAAACAAAATTTCTATTATCATAATTAAAATATATGGTATATTCAATAAATATAGATACTGACTGAAGCATGAATATCAACTTTCTACTGCCAGTCCTGGAACTAACTTAGTATTGGTATCTATTAATTATATAGTTGTAACTTACAACCATGAAGCAGACACACCATTAAATCATTGCTCCCCCCACCCAATATTGTTTTAGTTCTGCAGCTCTCTTGCTGAACAAATGTTCATTCATATACATCATAAGGGAAGTCATCAACCAAAACTTGCAGAAATAAACCTAATAAATACAGCTTAACATTGTGAACAAGACTTAAAATGAACTTAAAACAAGGATATTAACAAACTTATGACATGAATATTACATTATAAAAAGCAAGCAAAGGGCAAGCTAGATGTAGGCAAGATTAAAATGTTGAGCAAAACAAAACAAAATTTTTCAGACTTGATTTTTGAAAAAATATTATTTTAAATGTGGTTTAAAAGTATTTTCTATTTTTAATTAAGTTGTTATTAGCACGAGATCTGTTTAATACACTATCACTTATTGTTTATTATTTTTTTACAAAACTTTACATTTTTTGTTGGTTATTGTATTAAATTACAGAAAAAAGTAGATATAAACAAAACAAAATTTCATACATGTTACAAAATAAAACTATTAAGAGTTGAATATGAAAATTCACATATGTTAAATAGAATTAAAGACAAGTTTTATCTACCTTACCACTGATTACCTTGACTAGCAAGACAATAAAGTCATCAAACACTACAAAATATTTATCAATGTACCGGTATATTATCATGTATCAAATTAACAAAATAAAAAACCACCAAAAAAGCAAACACTCATATAAATTATCATGTAAAAGGTAACAAAAAAGAGAACATTTTGCATAAAACAATAATAACGAATGCATCCTAACTTACCTGACTTCAGTAAGATTAAATTGACACAAGTGTAAATCATTTATAGGCCAGTTTTTATTAAACTAAATACATGTATACGATTCTAAATAAAAAACAATTAAATAGCATTTTTGTTTTTAACCCACTGTTAATATCCTCGACACTGTAAAGGATATTGGGCAACTTTTCAGCTTTTTACTGGTGATGGAAGACTTAATTCTTTATGTCCCTCGATATAATATTTCAGACAGAACACACAAGATATCCTAGTAAAACAACCATCAATCTTCTATAAGCTAGTGTGATAGCTTTATTGGATGAAAATATTCATCATTGGCAGGATGTGAACTGACAACAGTAAAAGGGAAGAGATCAAGTGATCTGAAGTCAGCAACCTTAACCACTTTGGCTCTGTTTGTTTCAGAGACAAATCATAGAGTTCCTATGGATTATTTTACATTACAGCCATTACTTTCCAACTACTTCTTTACACAAGGGGGAATTAATATCATTTTTTTTAAACATAGCTTAATTACATGACTGGAGGGTAAATTTAAACATCTTCAATATGTTTCGATTTGAAAAATCTAAAGCTGCTAAAACAAAACAAGTTGGTTTTGCCTAACAAAACCTTTGTACAGAGGAAAAAACACCCCACACCTACATGTTGTACCTGTATGGTCTCAAATGCAATCAGAAAAGAAAAATACCATATCAAATTCTGAAATAAATTTACAATTTTGCAATATAGAAAATTATTGCTTCAAAATAAGATACTGCATAGCTTAAATAAATTGTCATAGTACAAAGAGATTCCCTAAGCAACAGAAATATATACCCCGACACTTTTATGATCACTTTCTATTTTATGCACCCGATATATCAATGGCACTACACAACATAAATGAAAAACTATAATATATGACATAAACTAAACATTGAACATAGACTCTTAACATGTTATAATGTTATGAAATGCTGAATACCAAAGCCTGATAGATCTAACTAAAAAGAATATACAAGAAATGATCTATTCACAATAATACTATTTAAACCAAGCTTCAAATCTACCTGGGCAAAACCTTTTGGCAAGATAGTGTACTGTGCATTCATAATTTGGAAGTTTAAAGTTAAATTCCTTGGCAATGTTTTGTCATAGATCAGTCACTGTTGTAATTCCATCTATCTACCATGTATAGGTTAAGCCAGTATAATCCCCTTTATAATACTGCATATTTATAGTGTCGCGTTTCATTGGATACATGATACATTCATGATACTTATATACCCTATATAAATATGTCTGCTGTCAATTTTTGACGCAATTTTCATTTTTCTGTAATAAAAGGAATTTTTCTGTACAGTAAGTTAGTTATCAAGATTTGTTCCTAAGTTAAATGGCTGTGTATAAATGGTTATTTCAAATATACCCGGTACATGTATTAGCTTTCAACTGCTCTAACTTGGCCATATAAACTTTCAAAAATCTTTATATCCAATAATTTATCCAACTTAAATTACTTTATTCATTCAGGTTTTACTAATACCCTAGGTTTGATTCTTTAAAAACAACAACAACAATAACAACCTACACTAAGCAATATAACAAAAAGTTATTTCTGGAATGAAATTATTGTACATGTATCTTGCATAATCCTCATTAAACATGAAATAACAATCTATCATTGTAGTCCAACATATTGCCAATGGCTATAAATATATAATGTATATGCATAAATCTTGTTCAATAATTATAATTTGGCTTACAAAGTATTCAAAATATCTCATCTCTCAATAAGACATGGGCAGGTGTAAAAAATATTTCAAAATTTGAGTGATAAGAATTCATGCATACATGTTATGGAACTGATTTCTTAAACTCATTATCTGAAAACATCACAAACACAAGCTAAACAATGGAAGAAAAATTTCAGCCTCCTTTGAAAATGTCGTCTGCACCAAGATCTCCATCAGCTACTTCCATCCATTAGATCTTTGAAATCCGAGTTTGCCCGTTTCATTTTACGACAGTGACATTTGCGGCACTGCCACTGTATTAAGAGGGCAAACAAGGGCAGGATACATATACCACATATACCTGCGAGCACGTAACCTACTATAGTCAGTGTTTTATTGCTCGTCTCAACTTTCTTGTACGCACAATCATTATAATCTCCTGAAATACAGAAATGCAAAATTTTACATTAAAACTTCACCATTAACTCTAAATATCTTAATGGACTTGTCGATATTTCATCTGGACAAAACCATTTATCATTTAGGGGAAAATTTCAATATTTACACTGAGAACAGAGAACACAATGACCAGACTGCACGGATGTGCCATCAGATATTTGTTGGCAATGGTTGCATGAGTAGATTTAGTCACATCCAGCAGGCTAAAATATGTTATAAAAGAAAGTTCCATCTTTTATCACAAATATACATCACAGAATATAACTGGTGCAAACTGATTATTAAAATGTTTTACAAGCCAATTTTAATCAAGGATTTAACTATAGCTCTTTTATGACACAGAAACATTGCAAGGAAATTATTCTACAAAAAAATCAGGAAAATTAAGTTCAAACAGTGTTGTTTGAGTAAAAGTACTAAAATTTTAGTTTTATGTATTCTAGCTAATCAATTATTAAAACAACAATACACTTAAAGTGTACTTCTTTTTTTCTCTTTAAAAAAACTCCTAATAAAGCCACTAATTATTTCAGATAAACTGAATGCATTTTTCTGTAATGTCACTAAATTTATTAATCAATATTACCTGTATATTTTATGTGCCCAATAATATGAGATTGGACAGCACTGGGATTAACTTGTCTACATGTTGTATTAGCAAACTTCACTTGTTTGTTCACTCTATCAAACACAACATAGAAACCTTCCATTACAATCGCACCAATAACACTTCCTGTAAACAATAAATATATCATTCTGTGATTATTTTACTGTTTTTTGCTTCTTTACAGGCATCTTAACTTTTAAATAATTCAGGTTACTTAATCAATTACAATTTTAGTGCCATAAATTACTTCAAATATCAAAACCAAATCAGTTATTTGTTTCCCTCTATGTTTGATAAGATCCCGGATTTCGTATAAGAGGTGGCCTTATTGTCCTGTACAAATAGGTGGTACTAGATCAAGAATCCCTTAGTATCATAAAAGAAGGTATTTTCTGTTGGTGGAAAATCGAACAGTTTGTTTTCTGAACAAAAATGTTAAAATATGAAGTTCTTGAAGCGTCGTTTCATTGTTCATTCAACTATAATATGTATATAATGTTTTTGAAGAGAGATATTGAAATATAGTAGGATGGTAGTTTTTCTGTTATCTTCTGGAGGCCTACTGCTTTAAAGTGTGTACAGACAAATGGTTGAGTAATTACAATATCTCATAAAAATTGTTGGGCCTTAAGAATTACAAGCTGTTGACACCCCCTTAAGTCAAATTAGTAATTCAAACAGTATGGAAGGGGAATTTCCAACAATATTAACAATGATAAATAACTTTCAAAAGAAGTCAAATACCTGAATCGAGGCTCGAGATTCCAAATTTGAAGCAATCATTTTCAGGAGAATTATCATTTTCTTCACCAACTGGTCTAAGATATTGCTGAAAATATATATGAGCCACGTCATGACAAAACCAACATACTGGGTTTGCAACCAGCATGGATGTAGACCAGCCTGTGCATCCACACAGTCTGATCAGGATCCATGCTGTTCGTTATCAGTTTCTCTACTTGTAATAGGGTTTGCAAGCAAACAGCATGGATCTTGATCAGACTGCACGGATGCGCAGGCTTGTCTGGATCCATGCTGGTCGCAAACCCATTATGTTGGTTTTGTCATGACGCGGCTCAATTATATTATTTTGAATTGTCTAATGAATTTCTATTCTATTTATGGAGAAATATTCAAGCTTCAAGTTAATATCTGTGTAACAGTTTGTCATAAATGGACTCAATCATAACATTCAAAGTTTTGAAGGGAATTGCTCAATTTGAGATAATGGCTTAACTGACATTTGTTAAACATGAACCAAAGCTAGACAGGTGCAGATCACTAAAACAATCATAAATGCTATCTTCATAATTTGATATTTTGAGAAAAAAAATCACTATTTATTTTCTTCTTTTTTTTTAATCTTATGGTATTTGAATATTTGGTGGTGTTTAATATGTTCAAATAAAATTCCCAGCCCTACAAAAAGAAACACAACACTGAAAATTTTGATAGAAAAAGAGGCATATTTATGCATTTATGAATATCAGGGAAATATGCCCTTTTACAATGGACTCCCATTATTAAGAGTGAACAACTATTCCTCATTTGGAATGAATATCTATCATGGTATTTGAAATATTTGCACTATTCTACAGTAAAAACAATTAGGTCAAGGTAAACTTATCTAACCTGTGCTGATACGACCAGTTTAAAACTGGCTGTATTATTTGTTGGTAATACCAGGGATATAGTCGGGAACATGTCATACGGTACTTGACCTTCTTTCCAACATAATACTTCTTCTCCTGCCCAAAATCCCAATGATGGAGGATTCACTTCAGAATTCAGCTGTCATTAAAATAGGCATACAAAATTCAATTATATTTAAACATATTTGTTAAAGTTTTACTATAAGATGTATATCTGAAAATACACAGACACTACATGTACATCATACCAAAACCTGAGATATAACACACATATTATATACTATGGTATGAATCTTTCTTACTGTTGACCATTCCATCAGATACCATAACAATATAACACTTTTACTCTATAAAACCATACAAAAGTCAGTATCAAACTTACCTAGTAACAATTTTTTTATCTAATCATCATTAATCAAGGCATTTATGATACTTTTTTTATTTCAAAACTGATTAGTTTTCTTTATGAAAAATACAAACTTATTTGTGAAAAATTTGTGTAAACATTTTGTAAAATTATAGTATTGACACAGCATGATACACAGTAACATGCAACGGTTCAGAATACCATGTAGACAACAAAATAGAATGTAAGACTTCACAGATGTATATGATGGGCTGGCTCTATACATGGTGGCATACCTATGCTATTCTCACAGCTGGTTTTCAATGGAATGATTGATGAGACAGAACATGTATACCTGTATAAACATACCTGTATCTCCTGTACAATCTGTTGAACAACTTTATTAAAGACCCTATATGGTAGTCGTAGATTGGTTGTACCAGTATCTACTATTGTTTTGCCAAAGTTGTACTGCAATATATAACAAAATAACAAATATTTTATATAAGATATCTGTTTGTTATAATAGGGTTATATGTCTTAAGACACACTAAAAAGCCTTACAAAATTTTATTTATTTCACTGATTCGCTATATTCAAAATATTACTGGTGGAGGAACGTCCAAGATACCTATATAAATGTTGGATCTTTGTAGAATCATTTACCTTTATAATTTGTTACAGCAGGTATAAGACATAAAACGCTATAACACATACCTCTTTACAGTCCATCTGGAGACTTTTGTCAGCCACCTGTATGTCTATAATTATCACTTCATAATACCATTCCTTATATATCGGTGTTGATAATAATTCTCCATCATAAAGTTCAGGTGATGTACTACCAAAAATCTGGAAAGTTAAACCAATTCATACAATACATTAAGATATACTTCAAATGATCATAGACTGGTCTATTAATTAGATTTGTCTATTAATATAAAGCATAACTAATCTAATGACTGGTAAAAAAATTTCAAACAAAAGATAAATTTTGATGGTTTAGAGAACTTATACAAGTATCAATAGAAACATCTAGCCTTGTTGGTCCATTTCTCTTGTACATACTTTTATCTATTTATAAAGGCAAATATAAACAAACTGGAACTAGAACTGCCACTGTCATGGCGCGAATACCCCCGCATACCACTTTGTCAACAATTTAGAGCTCAAGGACAACCTCCCTGCCAAATCTGAGGTTACTAAGCCAGTGCGTTGCTTAGTTATGTATTCTCAATGCTTCAAATGTGAAAATGTCAAAATCAATACACTGCGGACAGGTATTCTTAAGCATTTGAGCAGACAAGCTTATTATAGTAAAAATCCCTGTGACCTTGACCTTTGACACATTCACCTAGGGATCAATAGGGATCATCTACTAGTCATAAACAACCTCACTACAAAATATGAAGACTGTTGATCAAAGCATTCTTAATCAATTGAGCGGAAAAGCTTTTTTAGTCAAGACCCCTGTGACCTTGACCTTTGACCAGGTGACCTCAAAATTAATAGGGGTCATCTACTAATCATGACTAACCTCCATGCCAAATATGAAGACTGTGGGTCAAAGGAATCTCAAGTTATTGGGCGGACAAGCTGTTTTTAGTCAAGGCCCCTGTGACCTTAAACTTTGACCCAGTGACCTCAAAATCAATAGGGGTAATCTCCTAATTATGACTAACCTCCATGCCAAATATGAAGACTGTGGGTAAAAGGAATCTCAAGTAATTGGGCGGACAAGCTTTCTTTAGTCAAGGCCTCTGTGACCTTGACCTTTGACCTCAAAATCAATAGGGGTCATCTACTTATCATGACTAACCTCCATGCCAAATATGAGGACCTTGGGTCATAGGAATCCTTGGGTCATAGGAATCTCAAGTAATTGGGCGGACAAGCTTTTTTTAGTCAAGCCCCTGTGACCCTGACCTTTGACCCAGTGACCTCAAAATTAATAGGGGTCATTTACTAATCATGACTAACCTCCATGCCAAATATGAAGACCGTGGGTCAAAGGAATCTCAACTTACTGGGAGGACAAGCTTTTTTCAGTCAAGGCCCCTGTGACCTTGACCTTTGACCCAGTGACCTCAAAATCAATAGGGGTCATCTACTAATCATGACTAACCTCCATGCCAAATATGAAGACTGTGGGTCAAAGGAATCTCAAGTTATTGGGCGGACAAGCTTTTTTTAGTCAAGGCCCCTGTGACCTTGACCTTTGACCCAGTGACCTCAAAATCAATAGGGGTCATCTACTAATCATGACTAACCTCCATGCCAAATATGAAGACTGTGGGTCAAAGGAATCTTAAGTTATTGGGCGGACAAGCTTTTTTAAGTCAAGGCCCCTGTGACCTTGACCTTTGACCCAGTGACCTCAAAATCAATAGGGGTCATCTACTAATCATGACTAACCTCCATGCCAAATATGAAGACTGTGGGTCAAAGGAATCTCAAGTTGTTGGGCGGACAAGGAAAAACTGACGGACGGCATGACGGGAAGACGTCCGGACGGACAAGCTGATTCCAGTATACCCCACTTACAACTTTGGTGTGCGGGGGTATAATAAAATAGGTCATTAATATATGATATAAATGATATTTAAATGGTATAATCAAGTTGAAATGATATATGCTTCAAGTGTAACTGTTTTAGTACTGACATAATGAATTAAGGGAGCAAAATGCTCAAACATGGGTCAGTAGATAGCCAGAGTAATAGTACATCTGATGTTAAAGGTAATAAAACTTGTAAATTACCAGAGATCCACCAACTTTATTAGTTGGATTTGGGGAGAAATATCCTAGTCCACATAACTGAACACTGAATATATTACTGGACTGTCTATCATGTACCATAGTGTCAAACAAAGGCTCCACAGAACTGTCAGGCTGTAATTTAACACAGAATATTTAAACATGTAATAATGTATTACACTTCTTGCATATAAAGAAATGAAAACATTTATAATATTCATAGTAATATCACACATAAAGGTAACACATAAAGTATTTATAAGTAGCAATTAATAAATTTATAAAATACCAAGCATAATGTACAATTGTTCACAGGGTTCAGCAGTTTTCAAGCAGTTTACAATAACCTTTTTAGACAGTTAACAAATATCACAAATATAATAGTATATTTTTTAATCAAGTATTCTCATTTGCATTCAATCTTTAATAAATGAGTCTAATAGAAAAATATTTATCATCATAATTGGTTATCACAAATTTTCAGTTTTACTGAAAAAACAAGAATTGAGAGAAACTTTCAACTATGTAAATCCAAATTCAATCTGACTGATTTATAGCTTGGTACGTAACTTTTTCAGCTGGATTTAAAAGAAGAAATATAATAAGAAAAATAAAAACTTACTCTTGCAATTTCAGCATAACCAAGACCTAAAATGCCTTGCCAGTTTGAGTTGTTTATAAAGAAGTGTTCAGCTTTGTTGATACAGGCTATATTTGCTGTGATATTTACATTGGGTATGCTGGTAATTCTGATAACATCAGTGCCAAGTTCACCATCCCAACTTCCCAATGTGTATGGTACGGTTACACTTTTACCCAACTCTTTATATGTGGTTGACCTGTATGTTAAAAAACAATCATATTTGTTGCTACAATAGAAAAATAATCTAAACTAGTAATTCTAACATCATTTGTGATTTGTATTATACATGTATTTCTCAATACATTGTATAAAGAATTTATAAAATTGATACAACAGAAACTTTGTAAGTTTAACACTCTATAAATACAATGTAGCTACAATTCATTTCTTACATAACCAACAAATATTGCTATACAAAAACACTGTTCCTGAATCAAGTTGGAAACATGGGTACTTCAATCTAGCTTACAATGGAACAAAATTTGTTATAACATACTAAATATAAATGGTCAAGAATTTTATGTTGTATACTGTAGTAAATTTACAGAAGTTTACAACTGCCTGAAAATGGTAGAGAAAGAATATTTGTTAAAATAATGCTATGACTTTGACCTGTGGAACTATTTTGCTTATACAGTACAACCTCTACTTGCAACACCCTTCGATAAACACTAGTTTGGTTGTTCTAGAGAGGTCTAAATAATATGTTTTTTTAATTTTCAAGGCATTCTTTCAGAAAAAATGTAATTGTTAGTGTACGGAAATAATTACTTTACTGTATGCTGTTCATATTTTACTATTCAGTATTCCTTCACCACATTTAGATTTAGCATAAACGATAAATGATAAGAAAAAATTATCTTAATTATAAAGGATATCTTTTACTTGCTACTTAATAAACACTTCAATATCTTTTTATCAGAAAATGTAAATATATTATGTTATCTGTTACAATTAGCATTAAAACCCAATGATGAACAACTCACTTGTCTGTTTGGAAGTGTGTGTTTATTTCTATTGATGGTTTACATGCCACAGCCAGATTACTGCTTCCAGTATCAATCAACACATTAAACTAAAATATATATAAAAAAAAATTCATCAGCATTGGAAACAAATAAATTATCTTCATTTTGAAATGTTCTTCTTAAAGGTCCATTATGCCTCAGAATTACTATCATTTCTATTTTTCAAAAACTTTATTTTTTGTTTATCTTGTTACAGTTTCCAAAGACATACTCATTTGCTATATACATGATCTATGTTTTGCATCTTTAGTTCTGTTTGCAATTGATATAATTATAATGAATTAGTATTTTGTATAGAAGTCACAAAACTACTTTGTTTACATGTTGCTACCTTTACAATATTATATTAAACTGCATGTACAGTCCTGCTTTTATCAGTTGTAAAACATCTAACATGCTCTTAATCCATTATTAAAATATTATTAAACACATGTTTGACGTGTCAGAATTAAAAAAGATGGATTTCTGAGGTGTAATGTGCCTTTAAGACATGACAAAAATAAATCATGAAAGTATCAAATCAAAGCTGTAATAGAAATACTTATCTTGCATTTTTGACATTTTACCTTCCAATAAAAGAAGTTCTGGTAAACAGTTTGCAATAACAGTAGTTAAACTGCATCTACAATTTCTTTATTCTATCTTCTACAGTCATTCTTATAAAAGTGACAAATTAACCTCAGTAAAACAAAACAAAATAATAGAACATGACTTTTTCCTATTTTAGGGCAAAACTATATTATTTTTGGATTAAATTAAAGAAAATGCTAACTCTGAAGTTAATACTGCCTACATCTTTTTTACAGCAAAAAATAGAGGGGACTGAATGAGTGTAGGTTCAATACTGCATTTATTAAACAAGCCAGAGTCTCGCATAATATAACTTTCTTTAACTTGTTCAATAAATTCAGTATAGAAGCGACATGAATATAATATTCTATTTTAATATCTCATACCCAAAATAAGAACTGTTAATAATGAAAAAGAATTACATTTTTTTTGACATTTTAATGTGTAATGCTAATATTCAGCGTGTCTTTACATGCGCTATGTTTGTGCATCGCAAATGATGTCATGGCAAAATATATGCAGGGCCTTGCAATACTGTTTTTACGGAGTCACAAAAGTGGGACAGGTACATGTATGTGATAATCAGTTTTAATCAACACAGGATGGAATGGTCATATTTTAACATCTTTATCATAATAATTATCATTATAATGTAAGGACATATTTAGTGACATAATAGAAACTTGTGTCTATCCTAAGATGATTATCAAATTCACCTTCTGTGGAGGGGTACCAATTTCCACCTGCAAGTAGTAACCTTCTCCTGGTCTACCAAGAAGGTTACCAATCTGACTGCCATATTGAATGTTTCCGTGTGTTACAAACCCTTCATCGTCCAGTCTCTTGTTGATCTTTTTACCAACATTTATAAGAGGCAAACTCCCAAACACACAAGTAAGACACAGGTTTGTTACCAGAAGTATGGATATAACTTGTCTGTGTAGGGCATGTTTATCAGTCTGCATCTTAAATTCCTCATCAATTTAAACCTACATCATCTCTGTAAAAAATATAACCAAAGGGAAACTTACAAAATATTTTTTAAAGATGTATAAAGGAATTTTTAAAATAGTTTTTATTAAATTTGCTAAATCGTGTTGTGACCGGGCCGATGTACAAACATTCAGCATACATAACATATCCGAATACAGCCACGTCCGAAATCATTTCAACTTTCATTATATTTTTGTTGTTTTTATAACAATTGAGAACAGAATAATTTGTAAATTTACAACACATTTGGCTTATTTGGTAAACATATCAGCATAATTGTCTTTAAAAAGTTGATAAAAATACAAAAATAAACAAATTACGAACCAGGAAGTGTCTGCGTTAATTGGATAAAGACTAATCTTTTTACGAATGATATTTTGACCACAGAAATTTTTATGGATGGATGCATAATAGATTATTTCAAAATGAATATTATTACCTTAAATTTAGCAACAGTAATTAATGTTTAATTGGAAATAATGTAAACAATATAACACGCCTTCTTGTAGATGATTATATCTGACTTGGTGGCTATGTGCATCATCGCTGGCATAGATCTCGCGATAACTGGCGCCAAACTGGGACCTAATGTTAATAATAAACTCAAATGTTTGTACATCTTTTCAAATATTTAAACCGCTGTTCATTGATTTGAACCTCTTTGTAATTGACGTAATATGTGATTCAATCAAATTTAACATATTCAAATAAATCCCGGCGTGCGTTGTATGATGGGCACATCTCGATTATCAGCTCGAGTCCCTGCACATACTCTCTAAAGAGTTCACTTTAATATGCGAATAAATATATATAATAATTCAAGGTTTCAATCTATTGTATAATGCATTGTAGCAAATGCTTTAATTATAGTCGTGATTGTATATGCCCTATATTTATCTCCGTGATCTCAAATAGCTAGTACATACATGTATATAGCTCTCAGCTATATCATACGTACATGCACATATACTGGTGCTGGAGTCTGGAGATATCATGCTTCAAGAACTTGCAGTGATCGATCCAGCAACTCGTGCAGGCAATACTTCAATATAACGTGTATTACATTCACAAGCTTCTGCTAATAATTACCAATGCGTAAGATGTTAATTCTTTGATAATTATGCACCACTGAATACGAGTATACACAATTTTCACTTAAATTTGAACATGTTATTGTAACTTATCAACTTATAAATTTATTATTCATGTATATTATTTGGTCAAAACCCACTTATAAACCGCGTCCCTGATTGGAAAGTCTATGTACAGTCATGTATTAAGTAATGAGCACTTCACAATTTAACGATATGCCATTTGAATGATTAATCTTAAGAATATTTTGTTTTGTGTTTTTAGCAAAAAACTATTTTTTATTGAAGTTATAAAAATAGTAAACTGATACAATGAACATATTTATTTATAGCTTAAACAGGGGACCATAGTTAATAGCAGGAACCAGAATGAGAATGGGAGTGGCCCTTCGAAGGGCGACGAGGTAGAGTATTTGGGTGCGTGGGCCCTTAGAATGAAGAGACTGCTTGTACTGATGCGCCCTTCTCTTGGTACAAACAGACTATATCAAAGCTAACCCTTTTCATTTATTGTGAAAAGTACATTTGGCTGCTTATTGACTGCAAAAAAATCATTACTTTGATTTATACTCTGTGAAAATTATGCTGAGGTAAATTATCACCACTTTGCGTTACAAGGACATGACTGGTGACATGCACGGGTTCTGTACTCAACAGCGAAATTTGCTGTTTTGTGCCTTGCATATAGATCTTCATTAAACATAGACTACGCACGCACGCGCGCACATACATATATATACATACATACTCGCACGCATGCACGCACGCACGCGCGCGCACGCACGCACGCACGCACACAAACACATACATACATACATACATACATACATACATACATACATACATACATACATACATACATACATACATACATACATACATACATACATACATACATACATACATACTTATGAATGTGTGTAACTCTCAATTATTTAAGTCAGAACTCTAATTAATTTACACAGCTCATTATCTGATTTTAATTTATTTGTACCTTATGTTAATATTAGAAACTGGAGTAATGCTCAAATATTTTAATTTATTTAAGTGAACTTTTGTGCGGGATGAATAGAAAAGGCAAAAAATACGAAATAGAGAACTCGTGAGGTTGAAATGTCCTTACTCAACTCTCGTAAATTAATGTATAAGTGCACATCCATTTGTGTTATACATGGAGCTCAATATTACATAATAATATTGGTACTAAAATTCATTGCGTTATATAATTGTGCACGGTTCGCTTGCCAAACTCATATTATATTATGTACTTTAGTTGATATAATTTTAACTTATAGTACAATGTAATAAATAATACGCATCCAAACATTAAAACGTATTTAAATCACATTAAAATGCACATTTGCTAGAAGTACATTGTAAGATCTTTAAACCAAGTTGATACAGTGATTCAAGCATGACTTTGTCAGTACTTAATCAGATTTTTCAAAGAGCCTGTTTGCAACTTTCCACTTTAAACCATACATGTATTAGACAAATAGCTTAAAACTTGATAAAATATATATCAAATTAACATTTTCTTTTTTTTCTTTTTCATTTTTTCCGCATTTAAAGTACCACAATTTTTTTATATTGTCAGGGTAATAATTAGAGGTAAATACATGACAGCGTAAGACCGGAATGTAATAATCTAAAAATAAATTAATATTCATTAGGGTTAGATTTGCTGGCCCGTCTCTAACGTGTTTTATGCTGTGTTTTCACCGCCGATCAGATCAACTCGATCAAGCACGATCAAGCGATCGGGTAGCGGTCTAGCTCGGTCTGTATGCGTGATCGGGGATGGTCGGAGCGGTCTACCTTGGTCGGCATGGCTCGGGCCTCCTACCCGAATTTTTTTGACATGTCAAAAAAATTCGAGTAGCGATCGAGTAGATAAACGGTTGTGAAGCGATCGTATAATGATCTAGTAGAAGATCAAGTTGATCGAGAATAAATCGTGTAACGATCTAGTTTGGTCTAGACCAATTTCTTAACCGATCTGTACACGATCATCTCGAATTCTACTCGAGCATTATCCGATTGCAACCCGATCAACCGGACCTCTGTTCGATCTATCGTCCAGAATAACTAGACTACTACCCGACTGCTACACAACCACACACGATCGCTTCCCGATAGTAATTCGACCATACACGTGTTCATGTGACCCAAACAATATATAGATGTAAACTTATTGTTGGTGTCTCATTAGCTGTTACAAATTTGAAGATAGAGCAACTTCCAAATTATGACAACAAAATGCAAAGAAAAGGCAAAAAGGCAACACGCAGTACACGTAGTAGGACCATCTGGACCACAATCGAACTGCTCAATCTCGATCATGAACTGATTGAACCAGGAATGTTTGAAGATTTTATTCTAAACAATTCGATACACACTATTCACGACTCGATTACAATCATTACGATCTGGTCGGGTGGAAATCTGGCAACGATCGAGCAGAGGTCCAATGAGTCTAGTTGAGATCGTGTTTGACTCGCGTATAGGTCTGGGTGATCGACAAGAAGTCGGGGTGTTGGTCGGTTGTCGTCGAGAAGAAGTCGTAAAACATCGTGTAGGATCGACTTGAGGTCGTGTAGGAGTCGTGAATGTGCATTTAATCCGGTTTGATCGGGCTTCATCGGGGAATTAATGTGATCGGGACGATCTAATTGATCTGATCGGCGGTGAGAACATAGCATTAATTAATGAGTGCTGATAGATGAAATAATTAAAACAAAATATTTTAGTACTTTCGTTGTTAGAATCAAGAGCCATCTGATGCTCAGTCTGCATTCAGACACAATTTATCTCCTGTGTAGGAATACATTTAACACCTGTTATTCGTACTAACACCAGCTGTAGAGTCAAGCCGAATTTTTTACCATATTCGCTATATTTTTAGAATGTTTGTAGAAGTTCTACGTTTGACGTAATATATAAATCAATCAATCAATCAATCAATCAATCAATCAATCAAGCATTCATTCATTCATTCATTCATTCATTCATTCATTCATTCATTCATTCATACATTCATTCATTCAATCAATCAATCAATCAATCAATCATTGCAGAAGTCTTTAGAGAAGTCCTTACAGAACTTGGAGTACATATGTTCCATATAGATACTGTGTTGGTACAAGCACGGACTTTAATTACAATTAAAGTCCGTGGTGCAACGAAAAACCCAACAAAAAATAATTGCTCTAAACTTGACACATGACTGTTATAAGAAATAGTGGATGTGGGCCTCAAAAAACTAAGTATTCAATATCAATCTTAGCACACGACTTAGGAAATAGTTACAGTTGATAACCATAGATAACCATTCCTGCTCTATCTTTGTTTGACTATACATGTATATCAGTCACTGAGAATATGAGACCGTCCGTCTGACTGCTCTTGTAACCAAGTTCATTCCAACATGTCTCGTGATTTTGTAGCTATACACAAAGAATAAAACAGTGGTTAGGGACTACATGTAAATGCGGCTGTTCCTTTTTTTTGGGACCGAATGTTTAGGATAGCTCTAAACTAAAATGTAAATGATAGTTCTTGCCATTATGAAATAAAATGTAAAGGATAGGTTCTTTAACGTTCTAAATTGCTCAGATATTCAGATATTTAAGTTCTGTTTAACAATACTTCTTGCAATCAGATCTCATTACATTTTCCAATGAACAGTTTATTTTACACAAGAACTTACTGAGTTTATTTTACAAAAGATCTAAGTTTTAAATTTTGTCCAAAATAATGAGAAAAATATCAGAATTTATCAGGTACCCTTAGTTTATGATGTTCAATAAGTGTCTAATATATTATATGATTATTGATGTGTTCAATTGATGTAATGTTTACAATTGTTACATATTAATCAAGTGTTTATAAAAAAAAATACATGTAATTGCCTTACCGACTGCATAGATGTTGGTGTTAGAAATTGAGTTCACTTACAGAAACACGGCAGGTTTGTTTTGGAAACACATACAAAGTGTTCCATTTTTCAAGATTAATAACCCTATACATGAAATTATAACGTCATTGATATGCAAGATATGCTAACATTTTCTATATGACTTTGCATGGAAAACTAAGAACCAACATATGCAAGTAAATCAGCTTTACTTCGGCCGAGTATCTTTTTTTTTAAAGATACTTCTTGTTTATAGATGTTCTCCCTCCGATAAGATGGATAAACAAGGCCTTTAAATCTTATTATGTGTTCTTTTCATATGATACATTAATAAATCACACATACACTAACGCCACAGGTTTATCCATACATGTATTAGTTGGTATAATTTATATTTAAAATC